CAGTAGACGACGGGAGAGTAACAACCTGACGAAGAGCAGAGTCAGGCGGCGGCAGAGACAACGGAGACGGCGGAGCGAAGAACAGTCGTGTCGGCGCAGCTGCACCAGTACCGGCAGCTCCAGCAGCTCCAGTGCCTCCAGCAGCTCCAGTACCTCCAACAGCTCCCGTACCTCCAGCAGCTCCAGAAGCTCCAGTCCCAGAGCCGACACCCCCAGTCCCAGGGTCTCCAACCTCTGTGTCTCCAGCAGCAGCACCCCCAGAACCAGCACCTCCAGTCCCAGGGTCTCCAGCCTCAGTGTCTCCAGCAGCAGCACCCCCAGAACCAGCACCTCCAGTCGCCGGGTCTCCAGCCTCAGTGTCTCTAGCACGAGCACCTCCAGAACCAGCGACTCCAGCACCTCCAGTAGACAAAGGACCAGCACCACTCCTAGCTCCAGCAGCGCGACGCTGACGACGACCGTACCAGTCCTGCAGCTGCTGTGGGGTGAGAGGCACACGTGGACGAAGGCGGCTACTCCAAGGAGACCGCGCAACAGCAGACTCAGAACCCTCAGCGCCCGCACCCCCAACGGCTCCAGAACCTCCGGTGTCAGTACCCTCAGCACCAGTACCTCCAGCGGCTCCAGAACCTCCAGCGCGAGCACCCTCAGCAGCTCCAGAACCTCCAGCTCCAGCGCCACCACTACTAGGACCACCAGCAGCTCCCGAACCTCCAGCGCCAGCACCCTCAGTAGCTCCAGAACCTCCAGCGTCAGTACCGCCAAGCTCAGCACCCCCAGACCCCTCACACTCAGGCTCAGCACCACCAGGCTCCACACCCTCAAGCTCCGCACCCTCAGGCTCAGTACCCCCAGGCTCAGCACCCCCAGGCTCCGCACCCCCAGGCTCAGCACCCCCAGAAGTAGCACCCCGAGCAGGACCACCCTCAGTAGGACCTGAGTCACCAGTGACCTCAACCGGCGCAGTCAAGGGAGGAGGGTCTACCTGAGAAACACCTGAAGGAGCAGGACCGGGAGCGGGGAGGGGGTCTACCTGGGGAGCACCTGGAGCGAGGAAGAGCGGCGGGGGGGGAGCGGGGCAGTGCGGTAGGGGAAGAGACGGTAAAAGGGAACCGACTCGTTGAACGTGATGTCCTGAGACGCAAAGACACGGCGCGAGGTGGGGTGGTAAAACTGCCAACCAGGCGCGTCAGGGACAAAGCCAAGGAAGACACAGGGAACAGCGCGGGCGGAGAGCTTGTCCGCGGTGGTATCGCGGACAAAGGCACGAGCACCCCAGACCCGGAAACGCGACGCATCGCCAACCTTCCCCGTCCACAGCAGTGTGGGCGAGGTCTTCGGCAAGGAGACACGGGGCCAGAGGTTGAGCTGATGCGCGGCGTACCGGACCGCAAACGGCCACAGAAAATGGGGGGCAGCTGCATGGATCATGGAGGTATGAGCGACCTCCATGACTAAGCCAATGCGGCGCTCAGCAACCCCATTCTGCTGCGGAGAGGCCGGAAGCGTGAACGACTGGGTGATGCCGTGCTCCGCATAGTAGGCTGCCAAGAGGTCGGAGGAGAACTCACCACCTCTGTCAGAGTGCAGACGCAGGACAGGAAAGTCCGACCGGAACCGCTCGCGGAGCTGGAGACGAACTGCGCGGATCCAGGGGATCAAAACAGCAGGGACATCCGCCTTGCTCCGCAAGGGGAAGACCGTGGTGTAGCGCGTGTAGTCGTCGACAACCAGCAGGAAGTACCGCTCGTGGCCCTGTCCCTGGACGCGGGCTGGGCCCCACACGTCCAGGTGGAGCGTCTGCAGTGGAGCCTCTGTGGGAGGAAACGAGGAGGAGTGAGGAGCGGCGCGCTGCCGCCCCTCGACGCAAGGAATGCAGGGCGGCGCAGGCGAGGGAGGGAGGGCAGGCAGAGACCTGGGAAGACTAGAGACCAGGGAGCGAGAGTGCATGCTACGTAGGCGAGGCAAGGAGGGGTGACCAAGGCGGTGGTGCCACAGGAGAGTGTCGTGCGACAAAGCGCGACACTCGCAGGGGGCCGCCAGCTGACCAGACGTAGACGCGGACGCAGCTACCTGAGGGGACTCAGTGGTCAGTGTGTACAGACTCGAGCCAGGTGCACGGGTGAACGTGGCCAAGTGTCGGCCCGTCCGAGCACACGTACAGTGAGTCACTCGCTGACTCGCAGGAGTGAACTGGTCAACCCCCCCATCCTGGAGGTCAGCTCCACTCACCAAGTTCGTAGAGAACGAGGGGAGGTAAAGACCTGACAGGAAGCCAGACGGGACGGCCGGACACGGCAGAACCGTGGAGTAGTGGGCAAGGACTGGACCCCCAGAGGGGTCCGCCAGGGAGACCGGGACTGGCCGACTGAGCGGCGTGAGTGTGGTGCAGTCGCGAAAGAAAGAGCGGGAAGCTCCTGAGTCAAGGGTGAAGGTGTGCAAGACCGCAGCAGGCGCAGTACCAGAGAGAGCAAACTCACCAGCACCTAGAGCAGGAGATGCACTAGCACCTAGAGCAGCAGCCGCACCAGCACCTAGAGCAGGAGACGCAGGAGCACCTAGAGCAGCAGCCTCACCAGTACCGGGAGCAGCAGGCTCTATACCAGGGTCAGGCGGTACGCACAGGTAACAGGCACGGTCAACACTAGTAGACAATGCATACATGGCAGTGAGAATAGCATCATAGTCAAGAGCAAAGATATCTACCCTCTGTCCAAGCAGCTCCACCCAAGTGGGGAGCTCAGCCTACGCGAGGCGTCGCTCAGACGGGCGAAGCAGCGGGACTCTGTGTGACCAAGCGTCCCGCAAGGCTGACCAGTCCGATCACCTATGCTAATGACGTACGGGCAACGAACTGTACGCGTAGACCTGCTACTCTGAACGTACCACTCCTGGAGCTGCCGGGGCGTAAGTGTCTCGCGTGGACGCCCCTGCAGCTGCAGCTGGCCACTGCCAGACGCTCCCAACTGACCAGCTCCAGGGCGACAGCTACGACGGCTACCGCGACAACCCCAGCTAGTATACCACTCACTAAGCTGCTGGGGCGTGAGAGGCTCGCGGGAACGTCGCTGGAGCTGCATCTGGCCACCTGCCAGTAGCAGTAGCAGCAGCAGTAGCGCGGGCAGGGCAGGCGCGGCAGGCAGGCAGGCAGGTAGGCAGGCAGGCAGGCAGGCAGGCCGGCAGGCAGGCAGGCAGGCAGGCAGGCAGGCAGGCAGGCAGGCAGGCAGGCAGACAGACAGGCAGGCCGGCAGGCAGGCAGGCAGGCCGGCAGGCAGGCAGGCAGGCGCGCAGGCAGGCAGGCAGGCAGGCCGGCAGGCAGGCAGGCAGGCAGGCAAGCAGGCAGGCAGGCAGACAGGCAGGCCGTCAGGCAGGCAGGCAGGCGCTCACCAAAGGCTGGGAGAGCAGGCGCTCACCGGGCGAGCAGGGCCGGCGCTCGACGGGCGGCGGCCGAGTAGGCGCACGACAGCGGCGACGTCGGGGCCGCAACACCGGCTGCAGAGCAGGGCCGAAGCAGCTGCAGGGCGGGGCCGCTTCAGCGGCAGTAGCAGGGTGGGGCCGCGTCAGCGGCAGGTCGGGGCCGTGGCAGCTGCAGGGCGGGGCCGCATCAGCGGCAGGTCGGGGCCGTGGCAGCTGCAGGGCGAGGCCGCATCAGCGGCAGGTCGGGGCCGAGGCAGAGGGCCGCGCGCGGCTCGGCGCGGGCTGCGCTGACAGCGCGCTGAGCTGCTGCAGGCCGCGCGCGGCCGCGCTAGGCAGTAGCGGGCCGCGCGCGGCTCGGCGCGGGCTGTTGCGGGCCGCGCGAGGCAGTAGCAGGCCGCGCGCGGCTCGGCGCGGGCTGCTGCGGGCCGCGCGCGGGCCTCGCGAGGCCGTAGCAGGCCGCGCGCGGCTCGACGCGGGCTGCGTGGGCTCGGCGCGGGCTGCGCGCGGCAGCTGCGGGCTGCGCGCGGCTCGGTGCGGGCTGCGCGCGGCTGCAGCGGGCTGCGCGCGGCTCGGTGCGGGCTGCGCGCGGCTGCAGCGGGCTGCGCGCGGCTCGGCGCGGGCTGCGTGGGCTCGGTGCGGGCTGCGCGCGGCTCGGTGCGGGCAGCGCGCGGCAGCAGCGTGCTTAACGGTCTGCAGGGGCTGTGTGCGGGCCTGACGGGCGTGTAGGGGCAGCGCGCTGGCCTAGGGCAGCAGGAGGCAGCGCTAGGGCTGCTGGACGGCGCGCATAGTGCAGCACGTCACAAGGCAAGGCAAGGCAGGCAGGTACGTGGGGTAGCGCGGTAACCGCAGCGGTAGGTGGGCCCGAAAAAAAAAACGGTCCTACGGACCTTAGTGCTCTGAAACCATGTTAGAATCTAGCAGCAGGAATGATTGAACTAGCAGCATGCAGGAGTACAAGTAGTAAACCCTAATTTGGGTTGTACCCCATATGGGCTACCCCACTACAGCCTAGACAATATGCAGCATAAGTTTGACAGCCCTCGCTGGAACCTATCGCAACAACAACACCACATACCCGTACTGGTGTTTCAGCTATTGTTTTTTTTTTTTTACACTGTTGGTTCGGTCTACTTACGATTTTTACACTGGCAAAATCAGTATAAAAAAAAACCGTGAACGCTGATTTGGACACCTCGTTGGCCGGGGCACGCTGATCCATCAGCATACCCTCAAACCAATCTGAGGGCCTGGTGTTGATCTTGTGTGTTTTTAGGACTCAGAATGCATGATCAAGCATCCACGGGCAAATGTTGAGCAGATGTGTAATAATCCACTTATCTGTGCTCCCTACCTAACAAATCCCAACTCTGCATAATTAATAAATTTCCCGCAAACTCTCATAGGTAGGTGTTTCCCATTAGCAGTAAGTTAACATAAGGTCAATGTTTTTAACCCCTCCAACTTGAACACAACTTGTTACTGGTAAACTGTCACCAGGAAAGGGTACCAGTACACATATTACAACTACGACTGCATAACGAACTTCCTTTACCGTACATGTACAAAAATACAGTGCGTTTCCATCAGTCTACCACTCGCTTTGCGCGCCTCTTGCTGCTCTTTTTCCGCCTCCCCCTGACAGCACGAGGCAGAGCTTTGACCATGTAGGGACCCTCGAGCTCATATCCAAGCTTCCTGTAGTAGTGGCGCGTTCCTATGCCCGATATCACTGCCAGCTTGCTCGACCCATGCTCCCACCGTGCAATGCGCTCTGCTTCCTCCATCAGCAGCGTGCCATACCCCTGCAACCACAAAGTACCGCAGTGCACCGCAGCCAACCCAAATCAACCGAAAGAGGGGATTTTTGGACCAGAAGAAACGTGTTTCTTGCTTGAAAGGTCAAATGGCAACCGTGACCACTGTAAGGATTAACCACTGTGCAGCACTGTACCCACCCACTAGCATGGTGCTGCCATGTGCCTCATCCTACCCACTCGCCTGGTGTTGCAGCTTGTCAGTGTCGCGTGTGTGCACGGGCACAGCCGTGCCATACACATGCCACAGATCCCACACATGCCATGCCACAGATGCGACCTACTTGCCTGGTGCTGTCAGCACCTGATCCAATCCACTCGCCTGGTGCTGTAGCTTGTCAGTGTCACGTGTGTGCATGGGCACGGCACTGCCATACACATGCAGCTCTAGCCACACATATGCCACACATATGCCACACATGCCCTGTACTACTGAGTCAACTCCCACTTGCCTGGTGTTGCAGCTTGTCAGTGTCGCGTGTGTGCACGGGCACAGCAGTGCCATACACATGCAGCTCGCGCACGATGGAGCACCGCCCCTTGAGCTCCGGACACGTCACGTGCGCTCCACACCGCCTCAGCCGCAGCAGCCCCACCAATATGTCCTGTCAAGGCAGGAGAGAGGGACACAAGGGGAGTTCACAGGCGTCTCACTCCCACAGCAAGAGATGACTTTTGAAGCACCTCTACAGTCGCACTATGGAGCAGCGCCCCCACACCGCCTCAGCCGCAGCAGCCCCACCAGAATGTCCTGTCAGGGAGAACGAGAGCGGGGCACAAGAGGGAGCGAGGGTCACAAGGTAAATAAAGAGGCGCCTCAGCAACAGTCGCACTATTGTGCACACCCGGTCCACGCCTGGTTAACTCCTCTCACTCTCTCACCTGCGCCATGCCTTCGCACGGAAGAAATGTCTCCCATCCATTGTTGGCAGCATAGTCCCGCCGCACGAGCTGCACATGACAGCATGGTCAATGTCTTGAATGCCCGCCTCCCTCCTACCACATGGTAACCACCTAGCAACAACTTTCCGTCTCACCTGATTCACGTCGTCGTACGACAGGAAGGTCTCCCACCCATTGTTGGCAGCGTAATCACGCCGAACCAACTGAACATCATGCGGCCTGACAGCATGGTGAATGTCCTGAATACCCGCCTCTCTTGTGCGCACATCCCGGCACCGCAGCCCCAGCTCTGCCATGCGCGCCAGTGCCGCATAAGTTACCGCCTCGCTATCACCTGGTTACCACATGGTAACCACCTGCATTTTTGAAGGTCTCACCTGGTTGACATCTTCATAGGAAAGGAATGTCTCCCACCCATCATTGGCAGCATAATCCCGTCGAACAAGCTGCACGTCGTGCGGCCGCACAGCATGGTGAATGTCCTGAATGCCCGCCTCCCGCGTGCGCACATCCCGGCACTGCAGCCCCAGTTCTGCCATGCGCGCTCCACAGGTCACCGTCTCTATCTCACCTGCCTACAACATGGTGGGAGTGGTAACCACTCCGAAACGACTTTCTGTCTCACCTGGTTCACGTCTTCGTACGAAAGAAAGGTCTCCCAGCCATCGTTGGCAGCGTAATCTCTCCGCACCAACTGCACGTCATGAGGCCTGACAGCATGGTGAATGTCCTGAATGCCCGCCTCCCGCGTGCGCACGTCACGGCACCGCAGCCCCAGCTCTGCCATGCGCGTTCCACAGGTCACTGTCTCTATATCACCTGCCTACCACATGGTGGTAACGGTAACCACCCCGAAACGACTTTCTGTCTCACCTGGTTCACGTCTTCGTACGAAAGAAAGGTCTCCCACCCATCATTGGCAGCGTAATCCCGTCGAACCAACTGCACGTCGTGCGGTCTGACAGCGTGGTGAATGTCCTGAATGCCCGCCTCCCGCGTGCGCACGTCACGGCACCGCAGCCCCAGCTCTGCCATGCGCGCCAGTGCCAGCTCACGCAGATTGCCTTTGTCCACTCCCGACGTGACAAGTGGCAGCGGGATATCGCGCATGATACGGTAGACGCGTGTCCAGGGGGGCACCAGGGCCAGGATACGGGCGACTAGATCTATTAGCTTCTCGGGTGGATAGTTGCGGTACCTGCAGATGCAGGAGGACGGGGGAGGAGGGAGGGGAAGCAGCGGGATATCACGCATGATGCGGTAGACACGCGTCCAGGGGGGCACCAGGGCCAGGATACGGGCGACTAGATCAATGAGTGTTTCAGGAGGGTAGTTGCGGTACCTGGATGGGGTTAGGAAAGGACGAGGGACTTTTGAGTCGACTCAAAAGTCACCTCGTTTTTCAGGAGGGTAGTTGCGGTACCTGGATGGAGGGAGGGGAGGGGAAAAGGAGGGGGAGAGGAGGCAACGGGATGTGGCGCATGATGCAGAAGACGACCTGCTCCTTCCTCCCTCTTCCCTTACCCACCTGCCAGTCTTCCATAGCTCGTAGAGACCTGTGCCGCGGATGACAAGCGTGGGATAGAGCTTGAGTCCTTCCGTGCGGAAGGGAGGACTGGTATGGTAACCCCCCATTCTTCTCCTTCCCTTACCCACCTGCCAGTCTTCCATAGCTCGTACAGCCCTGTGCCGCGGATGACGAGCGTGGGGTAGAGCTTGAGCCCGTCCGTGCGGAAGGCAGGGCTGTGAAAGAACTCCCTGAATGACTCCATGTCCCTCTCCATGCCCACGTTGGGTAGATCCGGCATCATGTGCGCCACCACCTGAGCGAGAGGGGCCACGGGGAGGAAGCGAGGGTTTCAGGTATGAAGGAAGGGATGAAAGGTGAAAGGCATGACTCCATGTCCCTCTCCATGCCCACATCGGGTAGGAGCGGCATCATGTGCGCCGCCGACAAGGAGTGGAGGCAAAGAGCAGGAGAAAAGGACGCATGAGAAGTGGGATGACACGTGAGGGCAAATGTGCTATTTGGCACGACGCGGCCACCACCATCGCCATTATACCTTAAAGCCCGCGTCCTTGGCGAGGCAGAAGCAGTCGGCGACGGCTGCAACAGTGTGGCCACGGTTGGTGTCCCGGGCCACGTCCTCATACGTGCTCTGCACTCCTATCTCCAGCCGCGTGCACCCGTATGCCAGCATCTGCCTCAGGTGCGGTCCCAGGCAGTAGTCGGGACGGCTGGTGGGTGGATGGGCAGGGTCACGGCGGAATTTGATTGGCTGGCTGAGAGCATCTCATCATTCCCAAGCTCTCAGGGTTGGCTGGCCGGGTGCTCGAGTTTGCAATGGTGAGGAGTCTACTGTTGTGGCGCAGCGCCTCAAAAAGGGGTGCTCTCACGTTTCGATGGTGAGGCCGATGCAGCGTGTGGCAGCATGCTCGGCGTACTGCATTGCCTCGGCCACCGACGCGGAGGAGCGGCCCCACAGTGGGTGGTCCATTGAGGCGACTCACAATCACAACTAGTCTCCTTTCACGGGGCTTGGTTGGTTGGTTGGTTACTCAAGGGTCAACATTGAATCTGACGGTTTCTAAATTGGCTGGCTGGCTGGCTGGCTGGCTGGCTGGCTGGCTCAAAGAATCGCTCACGTTTCGATGGTGAGGCCGATGCAGCGTGTGGCGGCATGCTCGGCGTACTGCACTGCCTCCGCCACCGACGCGGAGGAGCGGCCCGACAGGGCGTCGTGCAGATTGCGCACGAAGAAGTCGCGATAGTCCGCTGGCAGCGACATGAACGTGCCGCCCATCAGGATGTACTCCACCTGGTGATGGGATGTGAGGGTGTGATTGTAATGAGGAGGTGACTTTATGCAGATTGCGCACGAAGAAGTCGCAGTATTCCGCTGGTAGCGACATGAAGGTGCCGCCCATCAGAATGTACTCCACCTGATGTAGAGGGAGGGGGGGGGGAGGGGATAGTGAGTGTTGGTGTGATTATAGAGAGGGTGGTGTGATTGTAGAGAGCGTGTCGTGCAGATTGCGCACGAAGAAGTCGCGATAGTCCGCTGGTAGCGACATGAACGTGCCGCCCATTAGGATGTACTCCACCTGATGTGGCGGGGTGTGTGTGATTGTGGAGAGGATGGCGTGTATGTGGCGAGGGGACGATTGTATGAAGAAGACCGGAGTGCAAGGATTCGGCTGATGCAACATGGTACTTAGCTAAACATACTGTGTTCGAGTCGTACCTTAGCTAAACACACTGTGTCCAAGTCGTACCTTAGCTAAACACACTGTGTCCGAGTCGTACCTTATCCACACTGTGTCCGAGTCGTACCTTATCCACACTGTGTCCGAGTCGTACCTTAGCTAAACACACTGTGTCCGAGTCGTACCTTATCCACACTGTGTCCGAGTCGTACCTTATCCACACTGTGTCCGAGTCGCCTCAGTTGGTCGACCCGACCGCGCGCCTGAACGTACGGATGGTACCTCGCCCGAATCGCGCGCATGCTAGTCGGCTCATACCCGGTATAAGACTGCGTCGAATACTCGAAATCGGAATCGGGCCCGCCAGGGCAGTACACGCAGATGTTCCCCGTCGTCGCTATATGCGGGCATCTATGCGGTTTGGACATGACGGCTACGACGGCGATTCCCGAAGCTGTGCGAACGGGCTTCGCGCGGAGCCTTGGGATCAACGCGTCGCGGTGCTCCTCGGGAACCGCGGCGATGATTTCGACGAGCTTCGGCGCGCGCGACAGCCCGTGCTTTCGCGACGCGTCGGATTTGATCGCGTTGAGATTGACGTCGCGACCCGCGCGCACGCCGTCGATCATCGCTCGCACAATCTCGGAGATCGCGCGCACGCGGGATTCTTCCGGGGACGCGGACAGAACGACTCCGCCGCGCCCCGGCGTGGGCTTCTTTCCGCCGATGGCAGAAGAATCCGCGGAAGCGGCTCCGCCGCCCCCCCCGAACTCGGATAACGCCCCCATGGAGACGAACTGCTTATCGAAAGAACGTTTCAGTCGACTCGGCTTAGAAGTTAATTCGAGACACTACGATGAGAAATGATCAGACGGACATCCATATACAGGAAATCTAGCGCAACCAGAGCTATGTGGCGAAATAATTCTTCGAGGTGGCTCCTAAAACCTAAGGTCTCCAGGGCACCACTAATCTCGCTATGCACTTATTTTCAGGTACAAGTCCAACAAAGAAAACGGCGCGAGGCGCGACAACTTCTAGGCGAGGCTGAGATTCTGGGGCAAGTGTGGGAGACCCGCGAAGTGAATCCAGCTTATCCACTATGAACAGAAGTATACAGCGAGTTTTTAACACAATACCGTAAAGAATAATAGGTGCATCGCTCTCCCTGCAAGGACACCGTCCGTTTGCACGAGTCTAATTGGAAATAATGTGACGATGCCAGTAACGCGGTAACCCTTTCTCGTGTGAAGATCTTTCGCTCTCTCTCTGTGAACCCGATGAGCAACTGACACGTCTTGATGCTGCCGAGGATGCTCAACCATTTTTGAGAGGAATATCCTTTCATAACTCTCATCTCAACCTGCAACAAAGAAACACATACTATCGAATAGAGCGAAAACAGGAAACGAGCACTACATACAATGAAAACAAAAACAAAAACAAAACTTAAGAAACCAAGCTACACTCACCCTGACGGCGCTGAAAGGCCGGGTAGTTGTCGCGCTCGCATTGGCGGATTGAGGAGACGCCAGCCACTCGGCATTCCTGAATCCCATGCGCACCTTGCCGTAGCGCCTGAAGAGGTGGCGCTCCCAGCTCTGACTGGCCTTGCTGTTTGTCACCGATATGAACGTGCTGCTCCAGTTTCGATCACACACGACATACACCACACGACATACACCACACGGCATACACCACACATGCATGGATTGTTTTGTTCTTCATCAGAATTGAAACGGTGGGATGATCAGAGGAGAAAGGTGGGAATAGCGAATGGTGATAACTTGTCCGTAATTCATGCTGCAGTGCGGACGAGGGTGGTGAAGGTGATTCTCAAGTTGAAAGGGTTTTCACCTCCCCCAGTTTACCCCTCGCTTCTCCCAGTTGACCCTGCACCTCCCCCAGTTGACCCAGCACCTTTTGCTGGTAAGCAGCGAAGTGAAGGTGTTGAACTGCCCGGTTTTGCTGCCCATCAGCTCCACCTCCCCCAGTTGAGCCCGGATGCACACAGCCACCGGGGGAGGCGAGTCCCATGTCACACTCATGGCCTTGAGCTGGTGTTGGGATGGCATGGGTTGATGGTGCATGGGGCGATGGTGCATGGGTTGATGGTGCATGGGTTGATGGTGCATGGGTTGATGGTGCATGGGTTGATGGTGCATGGGTTGATGGAGCATGGGGGGATGGAGCATGGGGGGATGGAGCACGGGGGGATGGTGCACGGGGGGATGGTGCATGGGGGGATGGAGCATGGGGGGATGGAGCATGGGGGGATGGTGCATGGGGGGATGGAGCACGGGGGGATGGTGCATGGGGGGATGGAGCATGGGGTGATGGTGCATGGGGTGATGGTGCATGGGGTGATGGTGCATGGGGTGATGGTGCATGGGGTGATGGTGCATGCGGTTATGCCGCTTGAAATGCAATGCAATCAGATGGTCGCACAAGGGATGTCAAGGCGTTACAAGGGGTGGATGGGATGAAATGGCATGAGATTTCCCTGACAGGAGCTTGATGCTGATACATGTTCGTCGACATCACCATAGCATTGCCCATCCCTACCATGCACATGCCCATGCCTGCCATGCACACGCCCATCCCTGCCATGCTTGCTCATCTGCAAATTCTCAAGACCAGCTCATAAACGCCTGCACCCCACAGCTTCTCCAGCCGCTCCTGTCAACACACCCTTTCAAACTGCTCCATGCAGTGCGTGGGGCTGGCAGCAACCCGGGCGATGTTGCGGCGCTGCCAGCTCAAGGTCTTGCCTCCTCGTTGCCGCTCCACGTCCCGGTCGAACTGCCGCTCCCAACTGCTCTCCCACGCCTGCTCCCACGCCTTTCGAGGCACCTCGCACAGCTGCAGCCTACCTTCTCAAACTGCTCAGTGCAGTGCGTGAGGCTGGCAGCAATGCGCCCAATGTTGCGGCGCTGCCAGCTCAAGGTCTTGCCTCCTCTTTGCCGCTCCACATCGCGGTCGAACTGCTGCTCCCACCCGCCCTCCCACGCATGCTTGGCGTCGCACAGCTGCAGCCCGGGCGGCAGCGGGTGGCGGTACATGCCGCCCGCCGCGCGCACTGTGTTGATCACGGCAGCTGCCTGTTGGGGAAGGGGCAGCGGTGGGTGGAGATTGAGTCGGCTCTACTTTAACTATGTCAGTTTTTGAGGCACCCATCAAGAAGCGGTAGATGCTGGCCGCGGCGCGCACTGTGTTGATCACGGCAGCTGCCTGGTGGGGAAGGGGCAGCGGTGGGTGGAGATTGAGTCGGCTCTACTTTAACTATGTCAGTTTTTGAGGCACCCATCAAGAAGCGGTAGATGCTGGCCGCGGCGCGCACTGTGTTGATCACGGCAGCTGCCTGTTGGGGAAGGGGCAGCGGTGGGTGGAGATTGAGTCGGCTCTACTTTAACTATGTCAGTTTTTGAGGCACCCATCAAGAAGCGGTAGATGCTGGCCGCGGCGCGCACTGTGTTGATCACGGCAGCTGCCTGTTGGGGAAGGGGCAGCGGTGGGTGGAGATTGAGTCGGCTCTACTTTAACTATGTCAGTTTTTGAGGCACCCATCAAGAAGCGGTAGATGCTGGCCGCGGCGCGCACTGTGTTGATCACGGCAGCTGCCTGTTGGGGAAGGGGCAGCGGTGGGTGGAGATTGAGTCGGCTCTACTTTAACTATGTCAGTTTTTGAGGCACCCATCAAGAAGCGGTAGATGCTGGCCGCGGCGCGCACTGTGTTGATCACGGCAGCTGCCTGGTGGGGAAGGGGCAGCGGTGGGTGGAGATTGAGTCGGCTCTACTTTAACTATGTCAGTTTTTGAGGCACCCATCAAGAAGCGGTAGATGCTGGCCGCGGCGCGCACTGTGTTGATCACGGCAGCTGCCTGTTGGGGAAGGGGCAGCGTTGGGTGGAGATTGAGTCGGCTCTACTTTAACTATGTCAGTTTTTGAGGCACCCATCAAGAAGCGGTAGATGCTGGCCGCGGCGCGCACTGTGTTGATCACGGCAGCTGCCTGTTGGGGAAGGGGCAGCGGTGGGTGGAGATTGAGTCGGCTCTACTTTAACTATGTCAGTTTTTGAGGCACCCATCAAGAAGCGGTAGATGCTGGCCGCGGCGCGCACTGTGTTGATCACGGCAGCTGCCTGTTGGGGAAGGGGCAGCGGTGGGTGGAGATTGAGTCGGCTCTACTTTAACTATGTCAGTTTTTGAGGCACCCATCAAGAAGCGGTAGATGCTGGCCGCGGCGCGCACTGTGTTGATCACGGCAGCTGCCTGTTGGGGAAGGGGCAGCGGTGGGTGGAGATTGAGTCGGCTCTACTTTAACTATGTCAGTTTTTGAGGCACCCATCAAGAAGCGGTAGATGCTGGCCGCGGCGCGCACTGTGTTGATCACGGCAGCTGCCTGTTGGGGAAGGGGCAGCGGTGGGTGGAGATTGAGTCGGCTCTACTTTAACTATGTCAGTTTTTGAGGCACCCATCAAGAAGCGGTAGATGCTGGCCGCGGCGCGCACTGTGTTGATCACGGCAGCTGCCTGTTGGGGAAGGGGCAGCGGTGGGTGGAGATTGAGTCGGCTCTACTTTAACTATGTCAGTTTTTGAGGCACCCATCAAGAAGCGGTAGATGCTGGCCGCGGCGCGCACTGTGTTGATCACGGCAGCTGCCTGTCGGGGAAGGGGCAGCGGTGGGTGGAGATTGAGTCGGCTCTACTTTAACTATGTCAGTTTTTGAGGCACCCATCAAGAAGCGGTAGATGCTGGCCGCGGCGCGCACTGTGTTGATCACGGCAGCTGCCTGTTGGGGAAGGGGCAGCGTTGGGTGGAGATTGAGTCGGCTCTACTTTAACTATGTCAGTTTTTGAGGCACCCATCAAGAAGCGGTAGATGCTGGCCGCGGCGCGCACTGTGTTGATCACGGCAGCTGCCTGTTGGGGAAGGGGCAGCGGTGGGTGGAGATTGAGTCGGCTCTACTTTAACTATGTCAGTTTTTGAGGCACCCATCAAGAAGCGGTAGATGCTGGCCGCGGCGCGCACTGTGTTGATCACGGCAGCTGCCTGTTGGGGAAGGGGCAGCGGTGGGTGGAGATTGAGTCGGCCCTACTTTAACTATGTCAGTTTTTGAGGCACCCATCAAGAAGCGGTAGATGCTGGCCGCGGCGCGCACTGTGTTGATCACGGCAGCTGCCTGGTGGGGAAGGGGCAGCGGTGGGTGGAGATTGAGTCGGCTCTACTTTAACTATGTCAGTTTTTGAGGCACCCATCAAGAAGCGGTAGATGCTGGCCGCGGCGCGCACTGTGTTGATCACAGCAGCTGCCTGTTGGGGAAGGGGCAGCGTTGGGTGGAGATTGAGTCGGCTCTACTTTAACTATGTCAGTTTTTGAGGCACCCATCAAGAAGCGGTAGATGCTGGCCGCGGCGCGCACTGTGTTGATCACGGCAGCTGCCTGTTGGGGAAGGGGCAGCGGTGGGTGGAGATTGAGTCGGCTCTACTTTAACTATGTCAGTTTTTGAGGCACCCATCAAGAAGCGGTAGATGCTGGCCGCGGCGCGCACTGTGTTGATCACGGCAGCTGCCTGTTGGGGAAGGGGCAGCGGTGGGTGGAGATTGAGTCGGCTCTACTTTAACTATGTCAGTTTTTGAGGCACCCATCAAGAAGCGGTAGATGCTGGCCGCGGCGCGCACTGTGTTGATCACGGCAGCTGCCTGTTGGGGAAGGGGCAGCGGTGGGTGGAGATTGAGTCGGCTCTACTTTAACTATGTCAGTTTTTGAGGCACCCATCAAGAAGCGGTAGATGCTGGCCGCGGCGCGCACTGTGTTGATCACGGCAGCTGCCTGTTGGGGAAGGGGCAGCGGTGGGTGGAGATTGAGTCGGCTCTACTTTAACTATGTCAGTTTTTGAGGCACCCATCAAGAAGCGGTAGATGCTGGCCGCGGCGCGCACTGTGTTGATCACGGCAGCTGCCTGTCGGGGAAGGGGCAGCGGTGGGTGGAGATTGAGTCGGCTCTACTTTAACTATGTCAGTTTTTGAGGCACCCATCAAGAAGCGGTAGATGCTGGCCGCGGCGCGCACTGTGTTGATCACGGCAGCTGCCTGTTGGGGAAGGGGCAGCGTTGGGTGGAGATTGAGTCGGCTCTACTTTAACTATGTCAGTTTTTGAGGCACCCATCAAGAAGCGGTAGATGCTGGCCGCGGCGCGCACTGTGTTGATCACGGCAGCTGCCTGTTGGGGAAGGGGCAGCGGTGGGTGGAGATTGAGTCGGCTCTACTTTAACTATGTCAGTTTTTGAGGCACCCATCAAGAAGCGGTAGATGCTGGCCGCGGCGCGCACTGTGTGATCAGAGACGTTGCCTGCCGGGGAAGGGGTTGCGGTGGGTGGATGCTGAGTCGACTGTAAAAAGTGACTGTCCTATGCCATGGCCCCACTGCTTCACTGCACCACTCCGTTCCCCGTCGCTCATGCGCCTCCGATGCTCCACCCCACTCACCTTCTCATCAGCAGCGCAAGGGGAGGAACACGGTCGGCACTTGGCCCCATTCAGCGGCCCGTATGTCGCAGTCGAGAACATCATGGCAGCACACCCATCCCCTCCCTTCGACCGCCTCCGAGTCACCACACAAAAGTGAAAATGCTTCCGTGCCACCGCCACCCCCCCAGCCAGCCACCACCACCCCCCCAACCTCCCAACCCTCCAACCTTCCAACTCACCTTCTCACCATCAGCACAAGGGGAGGAACAAGGCCAGCACTTGGCACCGTTCAGCGGCCCATACGTGGCAGTCGAGAACATCATAGCGGCACACCCATCTCCCCCTCTCGACTGCCTCCGCGTGACCACCTCCACCCCCACACCTCCCCAACCTTCCCACTCACCTGATCATCAGCAGCACACGGAGAGGAGCAGGGCCGGCACTTGGCCCCATTCAGAGGCCCGTACGTCGCAGTTGAAAACATCATGGCAGCACAACCATCCCCCCCTCGCGACCGCCTCCGAGTCACCACACAGAAATGAAAATGCTTCCGTGCCACCTCCACTCCCCCAACCTCCATCTGCGCCCGAAACGCCTTCTCCGACGTCAGCGCTCTATACCCCGCACTGAACAGGTCTTGTAACACGGATAAACGCCTGAGAGCCACTTTGGAGGCGGCCCAGGAGCCAATCCCGAGGCGGTCGTTGAGGCCCCCCCAGTCGAACCCAAAGGGGATGGTGTAGGCGGAGGGGTGGAGAGCGGTGAGAAGGGGAGGGGGCGCGGTCCAGTAGCCGTCGACTCGTGTGCGGACGACCCAGCGATATGAGATGTTGTGTTGAAGTTGATGGGTGGCGATTAGATTAATACAGCCCTCCACCAATCGGAAATATTGCAGCAGACCCTGAGGGGGGGTGGTGGAGCAGGAGGATGGGGTAAGGGGGAGGTGGAGAGGGGTGTGGGGGGGGAAGACAAAGACTCAGCATGATTCCAAGGCGGTCGTTGAGCCCCCCCAGTCGCAACCGAAGGGGATGGTGTAGGTGGATGGGTTGAGAGCGGTGAGAAGGGGTGGGGGGGCGGTCCAGTAGCCGTTGACCCGTGTGCGGATGACCCATCGGTAGGAGATGTTGTGGTGCTGCTGGTGGGTTGATATGAGATCTATACAGCCCTCCACCAATCGAAAGTACTGTAGCAGACCCTGAGATGGGGTGGAGCAATGGAGGGAGAGGTGGAGAGAGGTGTGGGAGGGGAGGGGAGAGACACTGACGTGGCATGCCACAAGCCATCCGCCAGGGAGGACGGGAGGGGGTGCGGTCCAGTAGCCTTCGACTCGTGTGCGTATGACCCATCGGTAGGAGTTGTTGTGCTGGTGCTGGTGGGTTGATATGAGATCGATACAGCCTTCTACCAATCGGAAATACTGCAGCAGACCCTTGGGGGGGGGGGGGAGAAAGGTGGGTGTGGCCCAGGCGGGGAAGGGAAGGGGAGGTGGAGGGTGGTCGAACAATCGGAAATCCTGCAGCAGACACTGAGGGGGTTGGTGGACGAGGGTGGGGGAAGGGGGGAAAAGGGGGGTGCGGAGAGAAGCAAATGCAGAGTAGACATGGGAAGGAAGGGGCGCTGTTGATTTGACCGAAGTAGCCTTCAGCCATCTGTCAGAATGTAATGTCCGTTCTGTGAACCCCACCCCACCAATAGTGTACCTCACCGGTAACACCATGTGCCCACCCACCTGGATGCCATGTGGCGAGCCGTTACTGGTGAGCGTCGCGCGGTGCACGTCCGTCTCTGTGATGTCAGCACTGGGGAAGATGCGCACCGCTGCTATGCTCACTGCCACGCTCACTGCACTCTCTGTGCTGCTGCTGGTGCTGGTGCTGGCGCCACCACTGCTCGCTGCACTCCCTGTGCTGTTGCTGGCGGCGAGCAGCAGCGCCCACAGCTTGCTGGCGCGCTCGTCCAGTGGTGAGTGCAGGAAGAGGTGAGCTGGCGGGTAGCGGCTGATGACGTGGCGCAGGATGGACGGCCACGTGGCCTCGAAGTCCCGCGCGCCGCCCACGAGGCAGATGGCAACTGGGCCGTCATTGGTCGTCACAGCCCCGGGTGCTTCTGCAGCAATGGCAGTGGTAGCACTGGCAGTGGTATCATCACTTGCTGCGTCACCGCTTGTAGTAGCATTACTACCTGCAGCGGCAGCAGCTGTGGCAGCCATAGCAGCAGGCTTGCCAGCAGGGTGAGACGGCACACTTGGTGCTTTTCCCTGCCTCTGCACTGCCACCTGCTGTTGCTGCTGTTGCTCCGAGGCCTTGTCCTGCTGAGCTTTGAACAGCGTCAGGCTCGACCCGTCTACCTGATTAGCCACGTGCTGCTGCGACACCTGCTCCTGCGATGGAAGCTCGTTCTCAGACGCGTGGGACGCTGCTTCCTTCTGCTTCGCGGGTTTCTGTTCCCGCTTTCCCCGCTGGTCCTGCTGGTTTGGGCTCTGCTCCTTCTGCTGCTCCTTCTGCTGCTCCTGCTGCCCCTGCCGCCCCTGCTCCTTCTGTTTCGCCTGTTGCCTGTTCTCTGGCTGTGGCTGTGACTGTGGTTGTTCCCTCTGCTGCGGCCGCACGGAGAGGCTACTCTGCAGCCGTTGGAGCCACGCGGCGGAGTTTTGAGTCGACTCAGACAGCCACGCGCCGGCGGTGGAATTGCCGCCACGGAGCAGGTAGATATAGGACGGCGAAGTGAGCAGCGTGAAGTGCGCCGTAGCGAAGTATGCGACGGTCCATGCGACGACGAGTGCGACGAACAGCAGCGCCACGCCCACGCGCGACCCGCTTGACGACGAAAACAGCAGCCGCCGCATCCCTGCTGCTCGCTCCTCCAGCTAACACACATTCATCGTTGTCAACAAGTGAATTGCGCCGCACCTGATGAACTGAAGAAAGTGGTTGAATAGGAGAGCTGCGGCTGGTGGAATGGTGGAGAGCCGCTGCAACTGGTTGCACGTGGTTACACGTGGTTGCTACTGTAAAATAAATAATATTAAAGTACGGGCTTTTCTAACAAGCATATCAGAGTGGCGCAGCGGAAGCGTGGTGGGCCCATAACCCACAGGTCCCAGGATCGAAACCTGGCTCTGATACGTTTTTCTTTTCCATGATTCTCCCCTGTTTATCCACCACCATGTCTTTCCTCGCCACAAATTTGTTGGTCACTCCTGCTGCTCGTGAATCGTGACGTCGTGCCTTGTCACCAGCGAGGGGTGCTGGTCGTACCTGGTCGTTTGATTGAAAGCCCGTGAGTCCGCGACGTTTTCTTTTGAGGCGCCTTAAAAATCCACTGGGCGTACCTTGGAGTGCGCCCTGTTTAAATCGTTAAAACCCGGCGCACCGCGTTCTCGACTCGCGTTTCTTTCTGGTTTGGTCTAAGGCTCACCGCGTTTATCGCCGTCATCCTGCCGGTGCCGCCCGTGCGGCGCCATGTCGACAATGGACGCTCAGGATGAGCTCGAGGAGGCGGTGAGCCGAATCTACGGCGAGTGGCTTGCGCGTGGCGGCGGCCGCTCTGGCTCTCGGGCTGGGTACGCACTGCGTACCAATTCCTGGCGCTCATGAATCGTTGTGCCAATTTCTTGCTGCCTTTCGAACCTAGATGGACGAGTCTTAGTAGCGGCTACGCTAGCACCGCGTCTCTTGTTCGTTTCTCCCTGCTGCTTCTGCGGCTCTCCTTACTGCTTCCGCTCCCATCGTTTCACGTTGCTGCCCTCGCGCGTATTCTTTCGCGATTCCCCTTGTTTGACTCTCCGCGCAGGGACGCGGAGGGGGAAGAGACAGCGGGCGGAAGGCGGAAGGAGCGGGGCGGAAGCGGGGGAGAGGGGCTGCGGCTGCTGCGGGAGCGCCACGTGCGATTCCTGTTGAAGGGACTGGACCACCTCTCGAGCAGCTACGCCAGCCTGGATGCCAGGTCAGCATATCATCTTTCGCCGGCCCGTTCAATCACTGCACATTCTCACCCCTCTCCACCGTTTAAATTGCCCCGTATCCCCATCGCCCCCTCTCACCTCTGAGTGTGTGACTACCAGTCGGCCATGGCTGGTGTTCTGGATTGCGCACTCCCTCGCCCTCCTCCCATACTTTTTCCACCCTGCCTGCCTCTTCCACTCCCTCCCCTCAATTGAGTATCCCTTAGAGGTTCTAACATGCTCACCCTTCTCCACCGCTCCATCTCCCCCTCTCATTCGTGCCCTTCCCCGCTGCTCACCTCTGGATGTGGTTGTGTGGCCATGCTTACCAGTCGCCCGTGGTTGGTGTTTTGGATCGTGCACTCACTCGCTCTCCTAGAGCATCCTCTCGACGCCGCTCTTGCTGCTCGATGCGCCGACACCCTGCGCCGCTGCCAGGTGATTCTTCAGGTGCCGTGCCACCAGGTGGTGCCGGGTGCCACCAGGTGGTGCCACCAGGTGGTGCTTCAGGTGTTGCCAGGTGAGCTTCCGATTCTGTTCAAACGCACTCATTTTGTGTGTGTGTGTGTGAATGCTGTCACTCATACATCTCCTTGTGCTTCATCCATCCCATCTCCCCCTATTGATTATACTCACTCTCTCGCATCGTTCCCTCAATTCTCTCCCTTCTCTATCATCCGTCATGTAGCGCATCCTTTCCCTCCTCCCCCCACAGCATCCGGAGGGCGGATTTGGAGGTGGGCCAGGGCAGGTGAGAAATATCACATGCACCTTCTCCCACCCTCTCACACTTCTCCCACCCACCCCCCTTACTTACATGGCTCTTATTGGCGCACACGACACAACATGATTCGTGTCGCAACTCTTATTGGTGGTTCACAATCAAAGTCTTCCGTTCCCTTCCATCCTACATCCCCTCCCTCCCTGCGTTCCTCCTCCTCCTCCTCCTCCTCCTCCTCCTCCTCCTCCTCCTCCTCCTCCTCCTCCTCCTCCTCCTCCTCCTCCTCCTCCTCCACTCCATGCTCCTCAATCTCCCTCCCCTCTTCTCCCCTCTCCCCATCTCAACCCCACCCCACTTGTGCGCGTCTGTGCATCGCCGCCCTGCATGCATGCCATGCAGCTGGCCCACTTAGCCACCACCTATGCAGCTGTGGCAGCACTGGTGACGGTGGGAGGGGAGGAGGCTCTTTCCGTTGTCAACAGGTGTGCCTACTCCCAAACTCCTCTCCACCCTGCGCCCGTAGCCCTGCTAGCTCGTGTAGTGTGCTTCCATACCCCTCCTCTTATGCCTCTGCTCGTCTCGTTCTTCCACCCTTCCCCCCTACTCTCCTCTTCCCCCCTACTCTCCTCTTCCCCCCTACTCTCCTCTTCCCCTCCCCTCTGTTTCCTCTACCACATTCTCCTCTTCCTCTGCTGATCTCTTCTCCTTTCTTCCCCCTCCTCCTCTGGCCCAAACCTTAACTCCCTGTCCCTCTCACATGTCCCCCCCCTGCCTCACATCCCTTCTTCTCCCGGTGCTCCTTCCCGCGCACGTCGCTCCCTATGTCTGAGAACCAGGAAATCAATGCTTGCCTTTCTGCGCCGCATGAAGTGCCAATCAGGGGGTTTCAGGTGACTTGCCGTGGGTTTGATGGGTCTTGTATTGAGAGTAGCCATTGCAAGAACGCCAAACAATAGCATGTTTCCATCCGCTGCAAACATCAAGGTTAGCACCGCAGCGACCGTTTCGCCCTTTCCTCTCTTTCCAGGTGGCAACCCCTGCAGTAACCGCTCTTTTCCATCTTCCCCCGTACCCTCGGCTCTGCAGGTTGCACCAAGGGGGCGAGACGGACGTGAGGGGGTGCTACACTGCCATGGCTGTGAGTCACCTCACCTGCTGTCGTGCTGTGCTGTGTTTTGAGGCGCCTCACAAGTTATGAGGCGAGTTTTGAGGCACCCGAAATGAGATGAGTTCGAGGCGCCATGTGCTGCGGCAGCACCACCATGCCATGCCCATGGCTATGCTTCCATACATCCATTCATTCTGTTCCTCCACTGGCCACTCCCGCCATCTCCTCCCCTCTCTTCGCGCGTAGCAAGCTCCACCCTTCCCTTTCTCGTCTCTTCCTCCGTGCTGCTCCTCTGAGCCCCTGACCTGTCGCACACCTGCCCGGCCTCTATCCACTGGGCCTGGCCTGGCCTGGTCTGGTCTGACGGGGCCAATCTTGCCGTGTGTTAACTGCTCTCCCTCGTTGCCCTGGCCTGGCCTGGCCTGGCCTGACCAGGGTGGGCCCATCTTGCCGTGTGTTTACTGCTCTCCCTCGTTGCCGTGGCAGGTGGCTCATCTGCTCTGCATCCGCACGCCTGACCTCACAGAGAACGTGGCAGCATACGTGCACAGGTGGGCAGTTGAGAGGGGTGATGATAGGTGGTGAGAGGTGACGAGCGATGATGAGAGATGGCGAGCGGTGTTTCCCATGGAGATTTCGCTCGTAAAGGTTCGCCATATGTAAACTCTTGGTTGTGCAGTGCAATATGCAGCTGAGCCTTTGAGTGCACATTGCGTTCCCACGTTCTCCTGTTCGCCGCCACAGCTGTCAGACGTATGAAGGCGGCATTGGAGGGGAGCCTGGCGCAGAGGCGCATGGGGGGTGAGTGGGTGGAGTTTGAGGTGTGTGTAAGATGGCATGGTGCATGAGGGGCGGGGCATGAGGGGCGGGGCATGAGGGGCGGGGCGTGAGGAACAGGGCATGAACTAGATGGGATTGGCTTTATAAAGGCACGTCATCATGCTTCTAGGGACTGGTTCTTGCCCCACATGCTCTGTCTGTGACGCAATAAAGAGGATTTCCGGTGCAATCTTCATGTTCCTTCTTCCGGTCCTTGTCACCCCTCATCATTCTCCCCTTCCTCTCCCCATCCATATCTCGTCCCCCCCACCCCTCTCCACGCAGCTACACCTTCTGTGGGCTCGCGGCAGTGCTGTTGGCAGGCGCTGACTCGTGGCAGCATCTCGACCTGCACCTGCTCCTGGTGCGTATCCCTGCCCCCCAGCCTATATCCCGTGTGAGATCCCGATCCCCCTGCTGCGATTGGCTGCCCCCTGCCGCTTGTATGATTTTTGGGAATGCTCAAATCCAGAGTGAGTCAAGCAGGGAGCAGCAAAACCTGCCACTGCTCCTGGTCCATATTGCTGGCCCTCCCGCTGCTTCGTTGCCCTCCAACCCTCCACCCATACTGCCCACCTTGACAACAGAGTAGTTCACACCTGTAGTTGCTTCATAGTTCGTGCCTCTGAGAAATGTAAAAATCTGGGTGCTGCGCCAGGATGCTCCTACACTGACAGCATTCCATTCCCTCATTCTACCAATCGCCTCCCCCAATTGCCGCCAGCTCATTCCCCTCCTGTGCCACAACCCCTCTGTCTCCCCATCACCTCTTCTGCCATCCATCCCTTAACCAGGACTGGCTGGTGTTTTGGCAGGGCGGTGTGGAGGGGGGCTTTCAGGGGCGCAGCAACAAGCTGGTGGACGCCTGCTACAGCCTCTGGCAGGGGGGGCTCTTCCCACTCCTCGCCCTCTGCTCCTCCTCCCACACCCACCTCAGTGCTTCTGCCGTGCAGGCAAATAGTGCTGCTCACACCCCTCCATACCCCCCTATCACTTCTCTTCCCATGCATCCAATGGGCAGGACTGGCTGGTGTTTAGACAAGGCAGCATGGAGGGGGGATTTCAGGGGCGGAGCAACAAGCTGGTGGATGCCTGCTACAGCCTCTGGCAGGGGGGGCTCTTCCCACTCCTCGCCCTCTGCTCATCCTCCTGCCTCCCCACTGGCGATGCCAGCTCAGTGCAACAGCCGAGCAATGTGAGCTCGGTGCCGCGTTCGGAGGGTGCAGGAGGGGATCGGCAAGCCGGGCCGGCACCGGCAGGCAGCAGCGAGGAGAGAGGGGTTGCTGGTGACTCGAGGGAGGCTGCTGGTGGGTCTGGTGGTGTTGCTGGTGATTCGAGAGATGCTGGTGCTGGTGGGTCTGGCGGGGATGAAGAGCATTCCAGTGAAAGAGGTGGTGGTGGTGGTGGTGGTGGTGGTGGTGGTGGTGGTGGTGGTGGTGGTGGTGGTGGTGGTGGTGGTGGTGGTGGTGGTGGTGGTGAGAGAGGAAGAGAGCGGGCGGAGGATGCGGAGGCGGATGAGGAGGAGGAAGATGAGGAGGATGAGTGGGAGGAAGCAGATGTGGAGGCATTTCACCGTGTTCCCTTGGCGTCTGCTGCTGACCTCTTCCCTTGCCCCGAGTCTCTGCTAACTCCTGCTGGAGCTGGGGAGGGACGCGAGAGGACGGGTGGAGAGAGGGAGGGACGCGAGAGGATGGGTGGAGAGGAGAGGAGAGGAGAGGAGAGGGGAGGAGAGGGTGAGGAGGGGAGGGAAGGGGCGGCAGATGCAGTGGAAGGGGAGTCGGGTGACAGGGCCACTGCACGTGGAGGGCGTGACTGGGTTGGAAGCTTCTGTTACAACGACGTGGCACTACAGGCATACCTGTTGCTGTGCTGCCAGGTTAGTACCATACCTGCTGCTCTGCTGCCAGGTTAGTAGTGTACCCCACCACACCTACCTCCTCAAACCTCCCTCCACGCCACGCCTCTCCCTCCCCTTCGCATCGCGCCTTACAAATCCAGTCATCAGACTGCTTCCTGCCTTTCTTTCGTCCCAAGCCTTTACCTTTCTGCACTATAGACCCCCATGCCATACCTCACAACATCACCATGGTTTTCCTTGCACCTCCCTGCTCTTCCTTCACTTGCCGTGCGTGCAGGTGCCAGAGGGGGGACTGAGGGACAAGCCAGGCAAGGCGAGGGACTACTACCACACCTGCTACGCCCTCAGTGGTCTCACAGCAGCCCAGCACTCCCATCCACTCACGTTCCCCGTGCACACCCGTAATACCCAGCAAGTTGCGGCTAGTGCGGCACAGGGAGTGGGGGGTAGTGTGTTAGGGCCTGTTTCGAATCTGCTGGCAGTGGCAGAGCCTCGCTGTAACGTCAGGCAGGACAAATATGATGAAGCGATTAGGTTCTATGCAGATTGTGAGGCTTTGGTGTGAGGCGCAGTGCGTGCAATAGAAATGTAATTGGAAAACTCACATTGTTCGTGAGTGAGCTGAACATTACCGAAGCGAATCGTTTAACGCGTCAATTCCACAGCCCACAAAACACCCCTCATTGCTTGACTTGTGGCCTGTGACTCCTATCTGAAACGCAACATTCGTCTGTATAGAAGCATTCGAGAGCAGCTCGGCGAGCAGCAGCCTCCGCAGCAGCAGAGCGTGCATGCGCGGGCTTCAGTCAATTGGGAGGCTCCTGATTGCCACGCTCACCCGCGCGATACAGTCACATCGGGCGCAGTCATCCCGCGCTCCGCACTCTTCTTTCCTCCAGCGCGCGCTAAAACCTTCTTGGGGGGTGATTCCGGGGGTTGTATTGGGATCTCCGCGCGCATTGGGATCGCCGCGCGTATTAGATTTCTTGCGCCAAGTGATCTCCACCCGCGGGCTAACTTCCGCGCAAGCGCCCCCATCAATGGGCGAAAAGCGCAAGGCGGAGGGGGAAACGGAGGCGGAACACAAGAAGTCAAAAGCGACAGCAGCGGGGGAAGAAGGCTCCGCGGGCGCAGGGGGGGCAACGGGAGGGGGAGGCGAGGCCATGGGGGGTTCCTCAGGGTTTAAGGTTTTGAAAGAGGGTGCAGCGGAGATTTTAGTACAGGGTAACGACGTGTTCTATAACAAGGCGCAGGTAGTTAATCGCGACCTGTCCGTTTGCGTGCTTCGCGCGTTCGTCGCGGTTCGGCGGGAGGAGGTGAATCAGCGCGCCGCGGCCGCGGCTGCGGGGGTGAAGGGACGCGCGCTCCTGAAACACCCCAATGCGGACCTTGCGGCAAAATCTGCGGCGGCTGCTGCGGCGAAGCTTAGAGGCGGGGAGAAAGGGGGAGACGCGGAAAAAGGTGACGGCGGGGAGAAAGGGGAAGCAGGGGATGGGGAGGGGGAGCAGGAGGGAGAGGGAAGAGCATCGGAAGGGGCCGCAGGAGGGGAAGGAGGGGAGGGGAAGGAGAAGAGCGGAGAGGGGGACGGCGCGGCTGCTACAGATGCGGCGGCTGAAGCGGGGGAGGGGCAGCAGCAGCAGGCGAAGGTGGCTGAAGTGAAGCCTTTGAGAATCCTAGAGGTCGGTGTTTATGCCCTCTCCCTCGCTTAAAACCCCAACCTCACACTCTCCTCTCATCCCACTCACTCCTCTTACCTCACTCTCCTCTCATCCCACACTCTCCTCTTACCCAACACTCTCCAATCATCCCACACTCCCCTTCTCTCTCCCAGGGACTGGCAGCATCAGGGCTACGTTCAATCCGGTATGCGAAGGAGGTCCTGGGGGTGGGCGCGGTGGTGGCGCTGGACAACGACCCCGTGGCCGTGCAGGCATGCCAACGCAACGTGGCACACAACTTTGGTGGTAAACCACCACCCGCCACCGCCACCACCGCTACTGATGCTGCTCCACCACCACCCGCCACTGCTGGTGGTGCTGCTGTGGCTGAGGGGGAGGGAGGGGAGGGCAAGGAGGAGGGGAAGGGACGGGAGGGTGAGCCGGCGAGTGAGGGGGGGAAGGTTGAAGGGGAGGGAGCGGTACCAGTGAGAGCGGAGCAAGGCGACGCACGTGTGTACATGATACTGCATGAGAAGGAGTTTGATGCGGTGAGTGAGTGTGGCAATGCCTTCAGTCTTCCTAGATGCGGACATTCAAGCATTGCCGGTGTTTTCAGTCGACTCGAGTATCAGTTGTGAGTTGGCAAAAAATCTGGACCTGCACGGCTCGCTGTCGGTCTTCCTAGACGGGCAGTGCAGGAGGAGGCAGGGACTTTGACCGAGTCAAAGTATGAGTCAGCACTAAACTCTACTCAAACGTCCACCCTACTACCTTCATCTACACAGGTGGATCTGGACCCGTACGGGACGCCGTCGGTCTTCCTGGATGGGGCAGTGCAGGCAGTGGCGGATGGGGGCATGCTGCTGGTGACGGCCACTGACATGGCTGTGCTGTGTGGCAACAATGCCGAGGTCTGCTACTCCAAGTGAGTTGAGAGTGGTTGAGAGTGGTTGAGAGTGACGGCACATGGTAGGTCTTGGAGTTTAGGGTTGCATTGCGTATAGCAGGTGCTGCTGGTGACGGCCACTGACATGGCCGTGCTGTGTGGCAACAATGCCGAGGTCTGCTACTCCAAGTGAGTTGAGAGTGGTTGAGAGTGGTTGAGAGTGACGGTAGGTCTTGGGGTTTAGGGTTGCATTGTGTATAGCAGGTGCTGCTGGTGACGGCCACTGACATGGCCGTGCTGTGTGGCAACAATGCCGAGGTCTGCTACTCCAAGTGAGAGCCCATGCGTAGCGGCGTAGGGCTCCTGGTAGTGTTCTGGGCTCAGGATTCAGAGATGGATGTTGGTTCCGGGTTGCATGTGGGGCTTGCTGCTGCTGGTAACTGCCACCGTGCCATAGACATGGCCATGCTGTGTGGGAACAACGGTGAGGCCTACGACTCCACGTGAGCTGCAGTTACAGAAAACAGAATCAAATCTCTGAATACAGAAACTTGACATACAGTCAGCAGTCCAGGCATCCCAAACACTTCTGTCACCACCCATGCACGCTGTGTGTGTGCTCTATGTGTACATTGTTTGACTGTTTCAGATGACTTTTGAGTCGATCGACTCAAGAGTAATCATGTGCGTATCTTGTGTGTCCTATCCTATGTATGACTGTATCAGGTACGGGGCCTATCCACACCGTGCCAAGTACTGCCACGAGATGGCGATCCGCATACTGCTCGCCTCCATCGAGGTAACCCTCCTTTGAGTCACTTTACTTCGCCGCTGCAGCGTTCACAGGAACGCCCGTCGTAGGGTCAGTGCTCATAGAAACACTCTACTCACGGGGCCCGTTTCCATACAGTTGCTCGTCGTACGGTCACGTTACATGCTGCTCATGCTGCTGCTGCCTCAGATCTCTTGTGTCAACATTCTCTCTTCCTGTCCTCAACAGTCCCTTCGCCCTCTGCTTGTCACATCAAATGCTGCACCTGCGCCATTCCCTCCTGTGCCTTGTGAATCGCCGTCAGAGTGCGGCGAACCGGTTCAAGCGCCACATAGTGCTGGTGCTGTCCATGTCTGCTTTTGAGACGTCTCAAAAGTTTGCCCTCGGCATGTCACGCCCACCTGCCTCACCTTCACCCCCCCATGCCCTGTTGTGCCCATCAGAGTGCGGCGAACCGCTTCAAGCGGCACATAGTGCCGGTGCTCTCCGTGTCTGTTGACTTCTACATCCGTGTCTTCGTGCGCGTCTTCACGTGAGTCTGATTGACTTTGATTCACGTGAGAAGAGTGCAGTGTAGGTTTGCATCGCAGCAGCACCGCTGCACTACTTGATGTAACACTCAACAACACTAGTCGAGTCCGCTTTCTATGCGCTGACCTGCTGTTTAGAGCCTCATCGCTGTCTTGTCTCCTCTTCCCGCTGTGCCTCATCTGCTCCCTCCATGCTCCTGCCGGCCCATCATCAGGTCAGCGCAGGCAGTGAAGGCGACACCCAGCAAGCTGGCATACGTCTTCCAGTGCTCCGGCTGTGACTCCTACCACCTGCAGCCCGTGGGACGGGTTGTTGAGGGGCGTGCCAAGGTGAGACCATGTAAAGAAAGAATACACACAGTCGCTGGCACATATAGTCATGTCACCTGATTGGTGTTCCCCGTACCTGGCACTGTCTGTCCGTGCTAGCGAGCTTTGAGACACAAGTTGAGGGCCGGGCAAAGGTGAGACACAAGTTGAGCCAAAGCAATCTGGCTTGCGGTTGAGAACTGTAAGAATCCATATTCACATGTAGGCAAGCTGGGATAAGTCTTCCAGTGCTCCGGCTGCGACTCCTACCACCTGCAGCCCGTGGGACGGGTTGTTGAGGGGCGTGCCAAGGTGAGACCATGTAAAGAAAGAATACACACAGTCGCTGGCACATATAGTCATGTCACCTGATTGGTGTTCCCCGTATCTGGCACTGTCTGTCCATGCTAGCGAGCTTTGTCTTCCCCTCTTTTTTCTCCCCCCCTCCTCTTTCTTCCTCTGACCCCTCACCCTCCTCCAGAAACCAGACGCCCCTCCGCCTCCTCCCAGGTACCTCCCTGGTCTAGGCCCGGTGATTCCCCCAGCGTGTGAGCACTGCGGGCGGCATCTGAGCATTGGAGGGCCCATGTGGTGCACGCACCATCCCCACAGGCAGAACCATTACAGGACATACAGGATAACACCTCTCCCCTCGCCCCCTTCACTTCCCCCTGTCCCTCCAGAAACCAGACGCCCCCCCTCCTCCCCCCCGGTACCTACCTGGCCTAGGCCCGGTGATCCCTCCTGCCTGCGAGCACTGCGGGCGGCATCTGAGCATCGGAGGGCCCATGTGGTCTGCACCGATCCATGATGCTAACTGGGTTCGGCTGGTTCTGAGGGAGGTGCAAGCTGGGAAGGGCAGGCTGGCTGGGTTTGGCAAGGTGCACGGGCTGCTGACTGCCGTGTCTGAGGTAAGGGGGGTGCGTGACAGGGGGGAGGGTGAAGGGGGAGAGGAAGGGGAAGGGGGAAAGGGGAAGGGGCAGATGCCGATGATGGTCTGTTGCGAAACAAAGTGCTCATGGGATGCTGACAGCTGCGTCTGAGATAGGAGTATCGGAGAGTGGGGAGAGAGGGGGGGACTGGGTGACACTACATGGCAGACCGAAGAGAGGAGCCAAACAGAAGGAAGTGTAGGTGCTATCTATAGTTTCATTCTTTGGAATAGCGTCCTACCTGTCTTGATTACAGGAGGAGCTGCATGACATCCCACTCTACATCGACCTGCATGAGATCAGTGCCACGCTCAAGTGCACGCCCTTCGCCCTCCATCCCTCTCTCCCCCTCCCCTTCCCCACCTACCTACCCCAGGAGCTGCATGACATCCCTCTCTACATCGACCTGCATGAGATCAGCGCCACACTCAAGTGCACGCCGCCCAGCATGCTGCTCTTCCGCTCCGCGCTAGTCAACGCGGGGCACCGCGTGTCAGGGGCGCACTCCAACCCCCTCGGCATCAAGACTGACGCCCCACTGGGTCTTATCTGGGATGTCATGCGCTGCTGGGTGAGTGATGAGTGGGTGATGAGGGGAAGAGGAGGGGAGGGGGATGTGTGGATTGAATAATTGGACATTGCCTGATTTTGCGATGATGTATGATGTGATACTGTGGCATGTGAACCTGCACACTGTGGGGTCTGCATCTCTCCACGTCCCATGCCTTTGACACCATTCATCCCATCTCCACGTGTAACACCCCACGTGGCCCATGTGGTAACCAGATCCGAGACCATCCGGTGAAGTCCCAAGGGGAGGGCAGCCCAGCTGACACAATCCTAGCCAAGCCACCCATGACTGAGGTATGACGAATCTATCCATTGTGAGTGCCATAGGCAATGGAGATTTCTATGTCGGAGAGTGCCGCTGTTGCTTCTTGCTTGCTGTACTTCTACGTTGACCTGTGTACCAAGTCACATGCCCCTTACAACTTGTTCTCTCGCTGCTGACGCCTTCTCCTTCCCCTCTGCCTTTCCCCAGGTCAACTTTGCAAAAGCGCCCAAGGCTTTGAGCAAAGCGCAGCAGAAGGGAGTGGCACGATTCGTGCCCAACCCAGAGGCATACTGGGGGCCCAAGCCGCGTGCGGGGAGGAAGGATGCCAATGCCATGGCTGTGCTGGCACGGGAAGAAGGCGCGGAGGGGAAGGAGCAAGGGGGACAGGCAGATGGGAAAGGGGATGAGACGGCTGAATGATGGGCGCTGATGTGGCACTTGTGCGTTACAAGTTGACACCAGGAGTCAGGAATCAGGATGATGGCTTGTGATGAGGTGATGATGATTAGGAGCTGGCTGGCTTTCCTGGTTCTGGAATACTGCACAGCAGTCCCTTTATCTTTGAACTCCTGATCTCAATGGCGTGCAACCTAGCCCATAAAAAATGGTAGTACCGTATAAGTAGAACTCTTTTTTTGTCAAGAGGACAGATGATTTGAGCCGAGGATTGAGGCCTCCGGCTTCTGTATACCGACACTTGAAGCTCCTGGACAAACGAGAATTGTATGAGTGATTATATAGATTCCATTAACAGCATATTCCGAACCGAGTCCCATGAGTCTACGCGTTGGCAATGATCTCATGCACCAGATCGCTGATCGTGACATCTTCCGACCGAGCAGCCAGCTTCATGGCCACCTGCTTCTGCGCATCCATGCCAAACGACAGCCGCACCAGCGCCGACACATCCCCCGGGAACGTCCCGGCGAGCAGGCACTGGTGCGAGCGCGCATTGGACGGCACGTTCTCGCTGCTCTCGCACGGCTGCATGCCCAGAATGGTGATGACTGCCTCTACGGCCTCCTGCAGGCTGTCGCGCACGCCTAGGCCGTACTCGTCCACGCGCTCGAGAGATGGGTCGATGGCCTCCCATGCTGCTCTGAAGTTGGGCACACTCAGCTTCCGCACATAGTCCGCTGACGATACCTGGAGAAAGAAAGGGAGTGGCGGATGTGGGATGGGGAGGGAAAGGGAAGGTTAGGGTACAATGAAGGGGGTTGTGCAAGGGGCGAAATCGCGGTTGAAGTGTGCGAGTGGTGAAATCTGCGACTCGCACCCATACAACCCATCCAACAACATCACCAACTCACCTCGAGGTCTTCGAGCTGGTACTCCCCCACCTCCTCGGCATCCCCTGTGTTGGAGTCCACCTCCACCACCTTGAGCTTCATGATGTCTGTGATCTTGCCCAGCGTCAGCACGCCTCTGGCTTGAGTCAACTCAAGAACCCTTCTTACCACTTCACATGCACCATGTCAGAGTCTCAGACTCACCTCGAGGTCTTCGAGCTGGTACTCGTCCTCGTACCCCTCCTCCTCCGCGTCGCCTGTGTTGGGGTCCACCTCGACCACCTTGAACTTCATGATGTTGGTGATCTTGCCCAGCGTCAGCGCGCCCTCTGGCTTGGACAGCGCCACAAACGTCTGCCCCGTCACGCCGTACGCCATGCTCTTGAGCGGAATGGTCGCAACCTCCTCAAACTCCTCCGCCTCTGCCAGATCCATGAGCACTGTGACCTGCCGGCATGAGAAGCACAGCGCGGAAGCAACACAACGGATTTACAAGCCGTACATAAAAACGTCTCATCTATTCAAGAGGGCACAGGGGAAAAAATGTGGGGAAAAGCAAGAGGCAGAGGGGAAGGCAAGGGGCAGAGAGAAAAGGCAAGAGGCGCCATGCACCGCACTCACATCTTGCAGCATCTGCTCGGCAATGGTATTGGTGCAGTTGTACTGGAAGACCATGTGTGCGGGGAAGACGTGCTTTACCACGTTCACACTGTACTCCGTCTCCGCCTCCGTCAGCTCCACTGGCGCTGATGACTGTGGTGCAGGAGGGGGAAGGGGAAGAGAAGGAGGGGAGAGGGAGAGGTTGCACAATGGGACAGGGCAGGGCGAAGGGGAAGAGAGCGGGATGGGGGAGGAGACACGGAAGAGAACTACGAAAGCCGAATGTGCTTGAAGCAGGCAAGGCATTCTTGGAAAGCATGGAAGCAGCGTACACAGCAGCACATCCCAACCTTGAGCCCATGCCTCGCCTCCTCCTCCCCCTTGCTGCAGCATGCCATCGCACCTTGAACAGCTTGCCAAAGGTGGCAAACTCGGGGATGGAGTTGAGGAGCTTCTCGTACGCCTCTGACGCCGACGCACCACCGCCGGCTGCCTTGGCTGCTGCTGCCTCCTTGGCCGCTTTCTTGGCGCCCGCCTTGGCAGGGGGCAGCCCCTTCACCTCCTTGGGCACACTGTCTATGTCGAACGGTGCCTCACTCGGCTCCTGTTGCGGGGGAGAAGTGGAGGGGAAAGGGGGGGGGGGGGGGGGGGGTTATTTATTAGTTAGGCGCCTCGTAGGTGGCCCGCCTTGGCAGGGGGCAGCCCCTTCACCTCCTTGGGCACGCTGTCTATGTCGAATGGCGCCTCACTCGGCTCCTGATTGGGAGAGAAAGGGGGACAAAGAGAGTGGCCATTTGTTAAGCTAGCATTTCCTATTACGTCAGCGAACTCGCTAACTACATCCACACACGCACACATGCCCACTAGGACACATGTGCTCAACCATGTCGACCTCCCCGTCCACCTCCCCGATAAAAAAGGATCCAGTGACTCACGTAGTGCTTGAGCGCAGTCTCGAGGTTGACGAGGGGCACATCAAGAGCCTCCAGCATGAAGTCGCTGGCACCACTGGCTGCCACTGACTCCTGCCCGTCGCCCCCCAGCACGTTCAGGTACAGCGTTGCTCTGTCTCGCACCTGTTGGGGGTTCAAAAACAAATGGGGCAGAAATGGCGTTAGTACCTCCAGGATGAGGAGATCTACGAGGATGGGATGGGAGCTTGAAGCTTATGAAGGGTTGCCAAAGAGGTGAGGAGATAAGGAGACAAAGGAGGAGCGACCACAAATTTCACCACACTTATGGCAGAGATAGTTGGCATCGCCCTCACCTCATCATCATTGTCATACAGACAGCGGCGCAGGAGAGTGACAATGCGAGGCTGCATGAACGAAGTGGGACAGGGTAAAAGGGAGCAGCAAAAGGAGGAAAAGACGACCCATGAGCTGATGGTGAACGATACTTTGACTGCTTGGGTCACAGTGGAGAAAGATCTTTGACACTGGAATCTCACTTGTAGAATCCTGCCCCATGAATTCCCAGACCAATCCACATTCACACGATCCACCCGTTCCCCAACCTTCACAACCGCCCCCAGTGCAACCCAGACCCACCCGGAGCGCTTCCACTTGGGCGCCAAACTTGGCAAGGGTGCTGACGGCGCTGGCCCTGACAGTGGCGTTCTCGAGGATGACGCGGTTGTAGATAAAGCGGATGTACCGCGCTGGCTCTGGCGTCTTGGGGCCCTCGTTGCCCAGCAGGTGAAGAATCTGCCAGGTGTGGGTGATAGACAAGCCAAGGTCCCATGGAAGAATCGATCTCAAAGAAGGAAGCGCACATGAGTTACAAGCGATGCAGATAAGGAGAAAAATGTTTCAAGTCAGCAGGAAATTAAGGGGATAGGGGGGGTTGGGTCAGGAGGGAAGCGAAGCATGTGATTCTGCAAAAGATTATGCTATTGCCTGTCTTGTGACCGCTGTCTGCAGCTGACAGGGTGAAAAGAAAAGGAGTGGGGTTACAATACAAAGCACATGAGAATTAATTTACCTGCGAGGAGAGGTAGGTGAACTCGCAGTCCTCGATGAACTCGCAGAGGTGTGAGAGGCCAATCTCCTTGGCATCGGGGATCTCCCGGATGAGAATGAGGATGGAGTCCACGATTGCCTTCTTGTACTCGAACCCCCCCTCCTCTCGCAGGATACCGCTCAGGAAGTTCATGCTGCAAAAAACACAGAGAGAGAGAGCATTGTGGTGATAGCATGCTCATGCATACAATCTCAACTCATCCGTGTTTAGCCCAAACGCTATCACAGCCTGAAGAAACAAATGGGGAGCTGCTGTGCAGCAGGGAATAGACTGAAGCGACAAGATGAGGCTGAAGCGTGCGCATGAGATCCCACTTACAGGACACGGTATTTCTGGGGGTATTTGAGGCAGAGCGAGCGAATGGCCTCCACAACCACGATCTTGAACTCATCGGCGATATCCGACATGAAGTTGGTGATCTGCTTCATCAGCCGGTCCACGCTCGCCTCATTCCCCGTCTTGAGCAGCGTCGTGATGGCGAGCGTCGCAATGCTCCGATTCGGGTCCGAAATCAGCGTCTCCATGTCAATGTTACAGTTGGTAACCGCCTGCGGGTGCGCCATGGCGACCTTGTTGAGTGTGCGGATGGCGGCGAAGCGCAGCACGGGCTTGGGCGAGGAGAGGAACATCTGGAGCACGGTGATGGCGGGGGTGAGCTCGCGGCCGGTAATGTCTGTGAGCTCTGTCATGGCGCGTGCTGCCTCCAGCATCACCATGTCTGCTCGCTGCCGCAGACAGCTCTCGAGGAACTCGAAGAAGGGACGCGCGTTGTTGTTGTTGGGGCCCATCTCCTCAATCACCTGGGGTGTCATGCACGTACGCCAATACACATACCACGTGTATTGTAATTTAGCGAATGCATTGTGGTGGAGTGATGTTGGGCTCTGCAACATCTCGCGTACATGGTCGTTGCAATAGGTGGGCAACAAGATACAGCCTGCCTGCTGGCAGTAGTGGAGGTTACCTGGGAGGTGTAGCGCACAAGCAGGCACTGTGCAAGCGGCGAGCGCACAGCACCTCGGATGAGGCTGGTTACCAGCTTGCTGATGGCCAGACGGTCACTCTGCCGGATCTGTTCGGGAGAAGTTTCAGATTGCATTAGATGAGACCGCAAGAGAGCAGGGAATAGAATGAATGTGATTCAGCAGTCAGCTTATATGGCAAGCAAGTAGAGCAGGCAGCAGTAAAGAGAGTGGGTAGATGGCGAACAGGCAGAGGACGAGCAGCGTAGACATTGGTTGGTACAAGGGAAGGCTGACCTGGTGAAGGAGAGCGAGGGCATGGAACTGCACGAGAGGTGACTTGGAGTGCACCGCCTCCTGAATCTCGTTGCTCCATCTCCGCACAATATCTGGATTCGTCTGCAACACCACAACGCAACAAAAGTTGTGAAATTCAGCACCTTGGCGTTTATCCCTGCTAACACCCATTCCTGACGCTCTCTTCACCAGCATGATTATAACCGTCGCCAGCAACAATCAGTTACCTTGAGAAGGTGGAAGCCGCTGACGAGAGCAGCGCTGGCGACGACAGGGTTCTTATCCACGACCGCTTGCTTCAGATAACGCTCAATCTGGCCCAGCAGACCTCCGTCTGTGATCCGACAGAGCACGCGGATGGCATTGGCTCTGTACAGGTCCGTCTTGCTGTTCATGTCCTTCATCAGGGAGCTTGTCACGATGATGACCTGCACGCATGGGAGGATTTCCTTGCTGAAGAAGATTGCGCAACATCTCTGAATGAAAATAAATGCTTTCCGTGTTCGGTGGATTTCAGTGTAAGAAGTGGCATAAATCCATATTACGGTAAATACCTCGTCGGATGACGGGGAGATTTCTTTGATCATTAGGTACAGAAATCGCCGAAGGCCAATGTCTTGTGATTGAAAGAGCTTGGTGACGGAAAAGAAGACCTCCGTCGCTTCCGTCTGCAACCCAATGGTGAGAGCTCAAGGATATACGAATAATGATATATCCTTTGATTCAAATCTCACACTTCAAGAAACAGTTCCAGGCCACCAATGGCAGATCAGACACCCTTACCTTTGTAAACGTTTCGCCTTGATTGAGCAAATACAGAAGCTTGGTAATAACCTGCAATAGGGTAAGAAAGAGATTCAGATCCATGCCAATGGAGCGTGAAAAAATGAGCCTAGAACGAGGAACAGATTTTCAACAGAACGAAGAACCAGGAACAAGTGAAGCCAGAAAGCTGCAGAAATGAGGGAAAATGAGGAACAGCATGCCAACTGAGGTACGGCATGCCCACCTGTGCACATCTTCGGGGATCCAGCTGCGGGTCATTGAATACACGAGCTTCCTGTAGAACGGAGCCCTTCTCGATCCCGAAAAACGGAGAGTACTCAACTGCATCCAGACAGACAGATTATCATAAGAATACTCTCTCCAAGCTTTAAATGTGGTAGATTTCAAACAACACTCTCCGAACCTCGCCGCACAGAGACTAAAACTACGGCAGCACTCACACTCTCCATCAAAATCTTCGTCCTTTTTCATCCCTGGTGGCAACAACGCCATCTTGCTTGAACGATGAATATGCCAAGCTAACACAAGCAGCCGGATTCGCAATCAAAATAGGATGCAGCCGCGCTTTCTGCGATAGATCGGCAAGCTATGCCTTCGAGCGGGCTAAGTTAGGGCAGACCAGCTTCGAAGCGTCAGGTGGGTCTATTCCGAGGAAGAAAAATGGATCAGGAAGAAATCCAGGATGGTGGGGAAGATCAGAGATTCCCGCGAAACAGACTGGTGCAAGCCCTCAGTACAATGTCCTCTGACAGAAGCGTTTGCCATATCATTATCACATTATACACGTTACATGGAGAGTGAAATGCAAAGCCACCTACAAAAGTGGTCCCAAGTTCAATCTTTTCATACACAGCATTCCTATACGATAATCCTACGTTTAACCAAGATGACCTTGAATGGAGTCACATTCCAGTGTAATATAGTAAACTAGGGTGGCCCGACAGGTACGACTTGCAGTCCTCAGTGGTCGGAGTCACGGCTGTAGAAGGCATCCAAGATCTTGGGTGACACACGACGAAGCATCTCACGGGGAAAGATACGCAGAAGGGTCCATGCGAGATCCAAAGACTGGTAGATGTCACGAGCATCATATGCTCCCTGAGTGACGAATCTGTGCTCGAACTTGTCCAGGAACTCCAGGTAAAGCTGAAAGTCAGACGCACAGATCGAAAGAAGACGTCGTCAGGAGTGAGCAGCACTATACCCTTGGTGATGCACAAGATAGGCGGGGCAGGGCAGTTGATCATATGCAGAAACCAGGCATGACTACCACACATACCAGATCTTCAGATGACAAAGCTTCTTCTCCGACAACAGCCTTCATGGCTTGCACATCACGACCAATGGCATAGTTGGCATAGAGCTGAAATACACCAAACACACAGTTACAGCAAAAGGAAACCGTTAGAAGGCCCAAGCTTGAGAAACGGTGATAGCAAAAGTAATTGAGTTGTGCCACAGAAAATACAGACCTGATTGGAGACATCACCATGATCCTTGCGGGTCATCCCCTCTCCAATAGCACTCTGGGTGATGGGATTGAAAGGGCAGGCACATTGAACATAAGGCAGGACCAAGAAGACATGGATGTATTTTACAGACCAAAGGGCAAGGACTTAATGATGCATGAAAGAAGCAGAATGCATACCTTCATAAGACGAGACAGGGACGGCAACACATTGATCGGAGGATAAATCTGCGCACGAAGAAACGGGCGTGAAGGGTATTAAGAACGCACCATGCAGAAGACAACGTAAAATCGGAATAGCATCAGAGCTCGTCAGATCGCCTACCTGCCTGTTGTGCAGCTGACGGTCAATGTAGATTTGCCCCTCCGTAATGTAACCAGTAAGATCGGGGATAGGGTGAGTGATATCTGCACCACAGGCAATTGAAAAAGCCCACATCCTCATACACGGTGAACTAACCATCACGCACCTATCTGTTGCGTACATTATTGTCTATTATGCAAGTTATCGGCCATGAACGTTCCCCGTTTACTGTCTGATAAGCACTATGTGAGCGCAGCCATGCGCATGTTTGGAATTTTACTCGTTCCCTTGACCCGTGTAAACACATCAGCATACACCATCATCAGTACATACCGTCATTAGGCATGGTCAGGATGGGAATCTGGGTGATGGAGCCCTTGCGACCCTCAATACGCCCAGCACGCTCATAAATGGTCGCAAGATCAGTGTACATGTAACCTGGGTAACCACGACGCCCAGGCACTTCCTCACGCGCAGCAGAAACCTGGCAGAAGATGTATGCAGTTTTGAGAAAAGGGACAAATGTAGGTTGCCAGTGAGAGGAGAAAAAGCATTATCGGACTGATCATGACGAGAGAAGGAAAAGGTGAACGCAACAAAACGGCAGTAGCGAATGCAGTAGCAGAGCGTGGAGGTAAGAGGGAGTTAGAAAGCGCACCTCACGAAGGGCATCAGCGTATGAACTCATGTCCGTCAAGATCACAAGCACGTGCTTCCCACACTCGTAGGCAAGGTACTCAGCAGTTGTAAGCGCAATACGAGGGGTAATAATGCGCTCAATCGTAGGGTCATTGGCCTGCGAAGTGGAGACAAACATAGTGAGATGAGACTCTATCATACTTGGAAAACAAAACATGTGCGCCAAGGGCAATAATTACCAGGTTGAGGAAAAGCGTCACACGCTCCATGGAACCATTCTCCTCGAAATCTCGCTTGAAGAACGCAGCGGTCTCCATGTTCACACCCATAGCGGCGAACACAATGGCGAAGTTATCCTCCTCATCGTCCTGGGACAAGGCGTGAAAGAGCGTGTAAGAACTTGACAAACAAGACCTCATGAACAAAAAGCGCACAAAGTAAGATGAAACGGTACCTTCAGCAAATCATCCTTCTTCTCCAGTGGCTTCACAAGACCTGCTTGCCGACAGATCTGTGCGGCAATTTCATTGTGTGGAAGACCAGCGGCGGAGAAGAGGGGAATCTTTTGACCGCGAGCAATCGAGTTCATGACGTCGATGGTCGAAATACCAGTCTGAATCATTTCTTCGGGATATGTTCGCTCACTGGGGTTGATGGAACTGCCTGCAGGTTTCACGCAAAGGTTCAAATCAACTTCGTATGTGACATGAAGCCAGATCAAGGCACATTGAAGTATGATACTCACCAGCAATGTCGAGATATGCTTCTGCAAGAATGGGAGGCCCATCGTCAATGGGTTTGCCAGATCCGTTGAATATGCGACCAAGCATGTCGATGGACACGGGCGTTTTCAACACCTGTTTCGACGAAAGTTGACATAACCACGATCAGTACCTCAGACACTAAATCAGCATCCAGCCTCTCAAATGTCATAAGCTAAGTCACCTCGCCAGTGAACTCGACTGTCGTATGCTTGTTATCAATGCCAGAGGTCCCCTCGAAGACCTGCAGAAGTGACAAGTCTAACAATGTCAATCATGTTTTGTTTTTTTAAACGAAAATGCTGCTTCGGTAAATGAAGCACCAAGACAGCACCTGAACAACGGCTTTGTCGCCATCGATCTCAAGAACTTGACCTCTTCTAATCTCTCCATCCGCGAGCCTCAGGTTGACGATCTCCTGGAACTTGGGACCCTGCGCTCAACGAGATCCAGCGAGGCAACGAGATCCACCGATAAGCTGAAGAGTCCCCTACAGAGGTCGCCGTGAAATGGAAAGGATAACTAGACTGAAACGTACCTTCACTTTTTCCAAAATGACCAAGGGACCAGCGACACCAGACACAGTCCGGTACTCTGTGTAGTAACGAGAAGAAGAACGGGGATAGACAGGTCGTAAATCGTATGTAGAAGTAGAAGCTTGATCCAATGGACCAAGATAAAAATCTGATCGTGATGCGACCCGTATCTCAAACAGAAATGCCTAAACAGGAATGCCTTGAGAACCGAACTAAGACTAGTAAAAAAAATCATCAAGACCTACCTAAGAATGGTTCGCACACATAGTCCCGGCTAAGCGCCTTTAGATGCTCTTGGACTTCAGCCATAGTCCCCATGGTTGCTATTCAGGAGATGCAGACTAAGGTGAAAAGTAGCCAAGTGCAGGAGCAAGCAGCTGTGCGTGGGAAGGAACAGCACAGCACAGGGAATGAGCATAGAGATTCCTCGGATCAACGGAAATGCCTAGATTGTCTTGTCGGTCAGCCTGCGGTACACTACGCTGCACCAGCGCTGCTATCCTGGTGCCAGAGCAGCGTCGCGAAGAGGACGAAAGGCTGGTTACAAAACGATGACGAGACGAAGGACAAACGAAAATGCTCTCATTGAGAGTCGAACTCAAGACCTCCCGCTTACTAAACGGGTGCTCTAACCAACTGAGCTATGAGAGCACGGTGACGAGGTTGCGCTCATTTAGAGATACAAAAACAGGGGCTAAGCATGAAAGTATAACGCATCTGCTACTGATGAACACAGGTGCTTACAAGAGATCACAGGAGTTTACTGCTTGCCATTTCTATTGGTAATCGTCTACCAAACAGTTGTGATGACCATTGTGCTAAGGTATGTCATGTCACAAGGCATTGAGAGTGGACTGAATGGTTAATCTCTCTCTCGCTGTAAGCTCCTGTTGGTGCATTCATAAGGGTGGGAAAGGGATTCAAGGGTGTGTTGGAGTAAGGATCAGATATGGACCAACTACCAAATGGGTGGTTACGCGTGTGAATGAGAAGCCAAGATTGATCGCAAGCGAGGATCAGCGAATCCCAAAATCTATTATCATTTGGAGGAGATTTTGGTCTGGGTCGATGCCTCCTGGTAACGGACCGGGCAAAGGGACAACTGCTCTTGAGAAACTGCTTTTCCTGGATATTCACCTGAGAAAGTGTCTGGAAGAGATTTGGATCTTGTGTTGCCAGCTGCCTGATGACGTCAGCAATCAGCACTGGCAGGTTGATCTGGGAGTTCGCAGGCATAACGGACGGGGAATGGGGAGAGGGGACAGAGAGGAGGGGGAGTGGTTGCGGAAACATGCGAGTGGCTGAACAAACGGAAGATGAGTGAGTGCAAATATATGGGTGTTAGTGGAGAGGAGCACAAGTAACATCGTGGGTGAGCGAACATACCTGGTTGAGTGGGTCGTCTTGAGCATCATCGTCATCATCCCCTGCATCCTCACCAAACTGCCTCAGTGCACGCATGGACACAAGCAGTGGAGAGGAATGAGCGTGGGCATGAGCACACAAGTGGGGGGTGAGAGAAGAAGAGCTCAGCAAAAGCAGGTTGCTATTCAAAGGTCTCAAAAACACCCCTGCAACCCACCCGCCATCAACGCCACCCATCCCAAAGGCCTACCATGCCCGTCCCAACACACCTCTTGGTCCAGCAGGTGGGAAAAGAGTTCAGCTGAAGCAAACACCGGCGGCAGGCCTGCATCCAGCCCCTCCCTCCCCTTGCCACGCTCCCCTTCCTCCTCACTTCCCTCCTCGTCCTCCTCGTCTATGTCTCGATCCTGCTGGCAGGAGAAATTCCAAAGAGGTTTCATCAGGGAGGATGATACGGCCTTACTTGGGAAGGTGGGAGACTTCGGTGGGGATTTAATACCAGCATACCTTCATGGTGTGAAGAACATTCTCACCACGCTGCCCCTCTGCTGGTCACGCACACCCACTCTTACCCCTCTCAACACCTCTGCCCGCTTGCCTCTTTCAACCAGACCATGTGGTGTATACCAGAATGCCTCACGTTTGGGGCTCCTCTGAAGGGCATTCTCACCTCACTCTCTCCCCCCCCCCCTCTCTTCCAGTCAGTCCCCAACGCTTACCCCTCTCAATGCATCTGCCTGTTCGCCCTCCTCCTTTGCCTCCAGCAACACACCTGCCAGCAGTGACAAGCCCTAGGGGCGTGAGGGATAGGGAATGGACAGTGTTGACAAGGAGTGAGAAGTGGTGACAGGCGGTGAGGAGGAGAGAAACGCGGTGACATAAGGATGTCCTGAGAAAATAACATTGTATCTTGCACCTTTCATACCATTTAAAGAAAAGGACTGTATGAGAGGAGGACATTCTCACCTTAGCTGGAAACGCCATTTCTGTCCACTTGTCTGCCACCACACGCGCTCGTGAGCGAGTCACAACGCCCTTGGACGTCTGGAGGAGGGAAGGAAGAAAAGAGGAAAGGAGAACATGCTTCAGATGGGCTTCAACGCGAGATTGTGGACATCTGCAAAATGAGGAGGAAAAAAAAAAACGCATGCCGGGTAGGAAACAGGGGTTGATGAGGCATCAAGCACAACTCACCGCGACCAGTCGGCCCTGCACGGGCACTCGCAGCAGGCGCGGGTCACGTGAGGCCAGCAGCAGCGCCAGCGCTGCTGACGCCACCTTGCTGTGATACACCCCGTGTATGTCCCCTGGGAGTGAGGCAATGGGCGACAGCAGGGTGGGGTGGTGGCACATAGTGGGGTGATGGCAGCAAAAAAGGCAGCATCTTTTAGCGACTCAAATGTCAGCGCCAGTGCTGCTGTGCCACCCTGCTGTGGGTGAGGCGATGGCACACCGGCGGGTGGGATGGTGGCACACGGGCAAATGATGGCAGCAGATGGCAGCAGATGGCATTAACAAGTTAGGTGAGAAGGGAGGAATGAAAAACGGGCATGGTTGGAAGAGGATGTCAAACTGCCTTTCTCAAATCGATGCTTTCTCTATCACTCATGTTCGATTACACATATTAGAGTCTTTTCAACTTGGTTTGGTAATAATAGTAATGGTAATGGTAATTGTAATAGTAGTGTTAATGGTAGTTTTAGTGTGTAATGGTAATGGTAGTGGTAATGGTAATGGTAGTGATTAAGGTAATGGTAATGGTAATGGTAACGGTAATAGTAGTGGAAATGGAAATGGTGATGGTAGTTGTAATGGTAATGGTAATGGCAATGGTAATGGTAATGGTAATGGTAATGGTAATAGTAATGGTAGTGGTAATGGTAATGGTAATGGTAATGGCAATGGTAATGGTAATGGTAATGGTAGTGGTAATGATAATGGTAATGGTAATGGTAATGATAGTGGTAATGGTAGTGGTAATGGAAATGTCAGTGCTAATGGTAATGGTAATGGTAATGGTAATGGCAATGGTAATGGTAATGGTAATGGTAATGGCAATGATCATGACGATAATGATCATTGTAATGGTAATGGTATTGGTAAGGGTAATGGTAGTAGGAATAGTAATGGTAACGGCAATGATAGTGGTAGTGGTAATGATAATGGTAATGGTAATGGTAGTGGTAATGATAATGGTAATGGTAATGATAATGATGATGGTAATGATAATAATGATGGTAATGGTAATGGTAATGGTAATGGTAATGATAATGGTAATGACAATGACAGTGATAATGATAATGGTAATGGTAATGGTAATGGTAATAGTAATGGTAATGGTAGTGTTAGTAACATGACTCTAATAGGTGTATTTGAACATAAGTGATACAGAAACATCGATTGAACATGAGTTATTTTTGGGTGGTGTAAGTTACTGGGTGGGTAAAGGCAGTGATAGTGAAAGCATCGATTAGAGGAGCCAGAAAGGCACTGACTGTGATACAGAGAGGCAGTGATTGGGGAGCAGAGAGGCAGTGACTGTGGTACAAAGAGGCACTGATTGGGGAGCAGAGAGGCACTGACTATGGTACATGGCCCATTCGGAGAGCAGGAAGTGGAGGGCGGATGGGTGGCCGGGCAGGGGCATCGCAGAGAGCAGGTCTAGCAGCGGGCGCACCTCCGGTGATGCCCAGTGCACCTGGGGAGGGGGGAGGGAAGATTGGAGAGGAGAAATGGAGGCACGCATGAGAAGCGGGCAGTGAGACGTGGTGGTGAGAATGAGACAAGGTGACAGCACTGTGTCTTCCTTGCACATTCACACTGCAGAACCCATTGGGCACACACTAGAGCACCATCACTGTCACCCAGGTTGCTTCTGAGAATTCTCAACCAACACCCTTTCACAATGCAACACCCACTGAATGCAACCTACAACACCATCACCCACAAACAACTCTTGAGACGTCTCAAAAGTTCTCCTTGTACATTCACATTGCAGAACCCAGTGGGCATAACCTACAGCACCATCGCCCACAAACACGTTACCACATCCACCCACCAGGCGTGCGAAGACGAGCAGCAGGGAGACGGAGAGAGAGGGCATGCGCTTGGCGGCCATGCGGTGCACGATGGCAGCTACCAGCGCCTGAAGGTGTGGCGCCATGCGCGATGGCACGCGGCGGATGAGCTGCACCAACAGTGGGCCCACAAACAGGGATGCTGACGGCTCCAACTGTGGGCTTAGTAGCCTTTTGATGGGGGTTGGGAGAGGGAAGGAGCGGGAGGGAGAGCAAAAGGGAAAGGGGTGGAATGCCATGGACAGGCTAAGGTTGAGGTGTATAAAGTCCAGGTGCATGAGCAGAGACCCATGCGGTGCACGATGGCGGCCACCAGCGTCTGCAGGTTCAGTGCCATGCGCGATGGCACGAGGCGGATCAGCTGCACCAATGGTGGCCCCACGAAGAGAGATGCTGACGAAAGAGGGAGGGAGGGAGGGAGGGAGGGAGGGAGGGAGGGAGGGAGGGAGGGAGGGAGGGAGGGAGGGAGGGAGGGAGGGAGGGAGGGAGGGAGGGAGGGAGGGAGGGAGGGAGGGAGGGAGGGAGGGAGGGAGGAAGAGAATGGCAGGGGCAGGTGAAGGATGAGTTACTAGCAGTTCTCCCCCCCACTTGACTGCACCAACCCCCCTCTCCCCACTGTTGCATGCCACACGGGCATCTGCCCCACTCACTTGGCAGCAGCATCGAGCAGGGTCTTCATGGTGCCATCGGGGTCAGCACTGCCAGCCACTAGCTCCTCCCCTCCCTTGCGCACAAACATCGCCAGCGCCTCAGCCCCGTTCTGCAGCTCCGTGTGATCGTCTGACTGCAGCACCACGGCTGCCAGCGGGGCGAAAAGAGCATCGAAGACTGGGCGGACGAGTTGTGGGGGGGTGCGCTGCAGGCAGCAGGTTGAGAGGGGGGCGGGCCCGGGGGGAAAAAGGGGGTTTGTCAACTCGAAGATTAAACATAGCCAGTGCCTCTGCCCCGTTCTGCAGCTCTGTGTGATCGTCTGACTGCATCACCACCTCTCCCAGCGGTGCAAATAGGGCGTCAAACACTGGGCGGACCAGTGGTGGGGGGTGTGCGCTGCAGGCAGCAGGGAGGGTGGTGGCAGGGAGAGAAGGGGGGTAGGGAACTCAAGAATCAAACTTGGCCAGTGCCTCTGCCCCGTTCTGCAGCTCCACCGCTGCTCTGTGTGATCATTCGGCCGCAGCATCACCGCTGCCAGTGGTGAAAACAGGGGATTGACGACTGGGCGGACCAGCGGTGGGGGTTGTGCTGGTGGTGGCTGGCAGGTTGGGGAGAGAAATACAGTGCAGGAGGGGAGGGGTGGGGAGGAAGGGACTCAATGGGAGGAGAAAGGGCGACGCATCCCCCACTGATCAGATGGTGGGTTCTTGAGCATTCCTCTCAAGCTCACACAGAACATGTAACTGCCTTGCGTTGGGCCATCAGCAGTCTTACCTTGAGCAGCATCGTCAGCAGCTCCATGCCTCCTGCCACGAGTCCATTTGGTTGCTCCTCTGGCTGCTCACCAGTCCCCACCACTCACCACCCACACCCACATGCACAAACACACACACACATATCCACATGCACACGCCAGCATACACATACACAGAAGCAGGCACCACATGCGTTCATGCATGCCAGTGCATGCACATACAAGCACAACAGGCATGCATGAAACTCAATCCCCGCACACTCGCACCCACAGACAAAAGAGCAGAGACAGGGAGCTTGCATATGAATCAAAGAGCAGCACAAACGGACAGTTGGAGTGGGTTTTTTTCAGGAGCCGCAAAAACGATTTTTGATGCGCCACAAAAGAGCTGAGTCAAGGAGCTTGCATATGAATCAAGGAGCAGCACAAATGGACGGTTGGAGTGGTACGGCGGAATGGTGGCCTGGCACAACGGTACCTTGGAAAAGATGGAGGAGAGTGGGGGGATGGCGGTGCGCAGGATGGAGTGAAAACATCTCCGTTATTGTCAGATCCGTCATATGAGAAGTCCATGCAACAGCTCTTGTTTGGAAAAGGCATCGCGATACCTTGGAGAACGTGGAAGAGAGACATGAAAGGCGGTACCTTGGAGAGGATGGTGGAGAGGGGGGGATGACGGCGCGCAGGATGGAGTCAACTCGTCTCTGGTACTGTCAGATCCTTCATATGAGTACTAGTCCATGCGACAGCTTTTCTTTAAGAAAGAAGTTACCTTGGAGAGGATGGTGGAGAGCGGGGGGATGCGCGGATGCGCAGGATGGAGTGGATCGATGCAGGCGGGGAGGTAAGCCATGGCCTCGAGGGCGTCAGTGGTATCAGAGCTGATAACCGGGTAGTTCAAATGATAAGAAAATATGGATAGAAGAGCTGAAGTAAAAAAAGGATAAATCTGAGATGTAAAATAAGAGTATGATTGGGAAGAAAAGGTGGGGGTGGTTGGGCAAAGAGGGGGAGAAGAGTGAGGGGGAAGAGGGAGAGAGTGTGGGTTGTGGGTGGTTGTGGGGGTGGTTGTGGGGTGGTTGTGGGGGTGGTTGTGGGGTGGTTGTGGGGTGGTTGTGGGGTGGTTGTGGGGGTGGTTGTGGGTGGTTGTGGGGTGGTTGTGGGGTGGTTGTGGGGTGGTTGTGGGGTGGTTGTGGGGTGGTTGTGGGGTGGTTGTGGGGTGGTTGTGGGGTGGTTGTGGGTGGTTGTGGGGTGTTGTGGGGTGGTTGTGGGGTGGTTGTGGGGTGGTTGTGGGGTGGTTGTGGGGTGGTTGTGGGGTGGTTGTGGGGTGGTTGTGGGGTGGTTGTGGGTGGTTGTGGGGTGGTTTGGGGGTGGTTGTGGGGTGGTTGTGGGGTGGTTTGTGGGGTGGTTGGGGTGGTTGTGGGGTGGTTGTGGGGTGGTTTTGGGTGGTTGTGGGGTGGTTGTGTGGGGGTGTTGTGGGGTGGTTGTGGGGTGGTTGTGGGGTGGTTGTGGGGTGGTTGTGGGGTGGTTGTGGGGTGGTTGTGGGGTGGTTGTGGGGTGGTTGTGGGGTGGTTGTGGGGTGGTTGTGGGTGGTTGGTGGGGTTGTTGTGGGGTGGTTGTGGGGTGGTTGTGGGGTGGTTGTGGGGTGGTTGTGGGGGTGGTTGTGGGGTGGTTGTGGGTTGTTGTGGGTGGTTGGGGGTGGTTGTGGGTGGTGGTTGTGGGGTGGGTTGTGGGGGTGGTTGTGGGGTGGTTGTGGGGTGGTTGTGGGTGGTTTGTGGGGTGGTTGTGGGGTGGTTTTGTGGGGGTGGTTGTGGGGTGGTTGTGGGGGTGGTTGTGGGGTGGTTGTGGGGTGGTTGTGGGGTGGTTGTGGGGTGGTTGTGGGGTGGGTTGTGGGTGGTTGTGGGGTGGTTGTGGGGTGGTTGTGTGGGTGGTTGGGGTGGGTTGTTGTGGGGTGTTTGGGGTGGTTGTGGGGTGGTTGTGGTTGTGGGGTGGTTGTGGGGGTGGTTGTGGGGTGGTGTGGGGTGTGTGGTGGTGGTTGTGGGTGGTGGGGGGGTTGTGGGGGTGGTTGTGGGGTGGTGTGGTGGGGTGGTGGGGTGGGGGTTGTTGGGTGGGTGTGGGTGTGTGTTGTGTGGGGGGGTGGTTGGTGGGTGGTGTTGTGGGGTGGTTGGGGGTGGTTGTGGGGTGGTTGTGGGGTGGTTGTGGGGTGGTGTGGGGGTGGTTGTGGGGTGGTTGTGGGGTGGTTTGTGGGTGGTTGTGGGGTTGGTTGTGGGGTGGTTGTGGGGTGGTTGTGGGGTGGTTGTGGGTGGTTGTGGGGGTGGTTGTGGGGTGGTTGTGGGGTGGTTGTGGGGGGTGGCGTTGTGGGGTGTTGTGGTGGGTGGTGGTTGTGGGTGGTTGTGGGGTGGTTTGGGGGTGGTTGTGGGGTGGTTGTGGGGTGGTTGTGGGGTGGTTGTGGGGTGGGTTGTGGGGTGGTTGTGGGGGGTGGTTGTGGGGTGGTTGTGGGGTGGTTGTGGGGTGGTTGTGGGGTGGTTGTGGGGTGGTTGTGGGGTGGTTGTGGGGTGGTTGTGGGGTGGTTTGTGGGGTGTTGTGGGGGTGGTTGTGGGGTGGTTGTGGGGGGTTGTGGGGTGGTTGTGGGTGGTTGTGGGGTGGTTGTGGGTGTTGTGGGGTGGTTTGGGGGGTGGTGTGGGGGGTGGGTGTGGGGTGGTTGTGGGGTGGTTGTGGGTGGTTGTGGGTGGTTGTGGGGTGGTTGGGGGTGGTTGTGGGGGTGGTTGTGGGGTGGTTGTGGGGTGGTTGTGGGGTGGTTGTGGGGTGGTTTGTGGGTGGTTGTGGGGTGGTTGTGGGGTGGTTGTGGGGTGGTTGTGGGTGGTTGTGGGGGTGTTGTGGGGTGGTTGTGGGGTGGTTGTGGGGTGGGTTTGTGGGGTGGTTGTGGGGTGGTTGTGGGGGTGGTTGTGGGGTGGTGTGTGTGGTTGTGGGTGGTTGTGGGGTGGTTGTGGGGTGGTTGTGGGGTGGTTGTGGGGTGGTTGTGGGGTGGTTGTGGGGTGGTTGTGGGGTGGTTGTGGGGTGGTTGTGGGGTGGTTTGGGGGTGGTTGTGGGGTGGTTGTGGGTGGTTGTGGGGTGGTTGTGGGGTGGTTGTGGGGGTGGTTGTGGGTGGTTGTGGGGTGGTTGTGTGGGTGGTTGTGGGGTGGTTGTGGGTGGTTGTGGGGTGGTTGGGGTGGTTGTGGGGTGGTTGTGGGGTGGTTGTGGGGTGGTTGTGGGGTGGTTGTGGGGTGGTTGTGGGGGTGGGGTTTGTGGGGTGGTTGTGGGGTGGTTGTGGGGTGGTTGGTGGGTGGTTTGTGGGGTGGTTGTGGGGTGGTTGTGGGGTGGTTGTGGGTGGTTGTGGGGTGGTTGTGGGGTGGTTGTGGGGTGGTTGTGGGGTGGTTGTGGGGTGGTTGTGGGGTGGTTGTGGGGTGGTTGTGGCGTGGGTGGTTGTGGGGTGGTTGTGGGGTGGTTTGTGGGTGGTTGTGGGGTGGTTGTGGGGTGGTTGTGGGGTGGTTGTGGGGTGGTTGTGGGGTGGTTGTGGGGTGGTTGTGGGGTGGTTGTGGGGGTGGTTGTGGGGTGGTTGTGGGGTGGTTGTGGGTGGTTGTGGGGTGGTTGTGGGGTGGTTGTGGGTGGTTGGTGGGTGGTTTGTGGGGTGGTTGTGGGGTGGTTGTGGGGGTGGTTGTTGGGGGTGGTTGTGGGGTGGTTGTGGGGTGGTTGTGGGGTGGTTGTGGGGGTTGTGGGGTGGTGTGTGTGGGGTGGTTGTGGGGGGTTGTGTGGTTGGTGGGGTGGTTGTGGGGTGGTTGGGGGTGGTTTGTGGGGTGGTTGTGGGTGGTTGTGGGGTGGGTGTGGGGGTTGTGTGGTGGGTGGTTGTGGGGTGGTTGTGGGGTGGTGGTGTGGGGTGGTTGTGGGGTGGTTGTGGGGTGGTTGTGGGGTGGTTGTGGGGTGGTTGTGGGGTGGTTGTGGGGTGGTTGTGGGGTGGTTGTGGGGTGGTTGTGGGGTGGTTGTGGGGTGGTTGTGGGGTGGTTGTGGGGTGGTTGTGGGGTGGTTGTGGGGTGGTTGGGGGTGGTTGTGGGGTGGTTGTGGGGTGGTTGTGGGGTTGGTTGTGGGGTGGTTGTGGGGTGGTTGTGGGTGGTTGTGGGGTGGTTGTGGGGTGGTTGTGGGGTGGTTGGGGGTGGTTGTGGGGTGGTTTGGGTGGTTGTGGGGTGGTTGTGGGGTGGTGTGGGGTGGTTGTGGGGTGGTTGTGGGGTGGTTGTGGGGTGGTTGTGGGTGGTTGTGGGGTGGTTGTGGGGTGGTTGTGGGGTGGTTGTGGGGTGGTTGTGGGGTGGTTGTGGGGTGGTTGTGGGGTGGTTGTGGGTGGTTGTGGGGTGGTTGTGGGGTGGTTGTGGGGTGGTTGTGGGTGGTTGTGGGGTGGTTGTGGGGTGGTTGTGGGGTGGTTGTGGGGTGGTTGTGGGGTGGTTGTGGGGTGGTTGTGGGGTGGTTGTGGGGTGGTTGTGGGGTGGTTGTGGGGTGGTTGTGGGGTGGTTGTGGGTGGTTGTGGGGTGGTTGTGGGGTGGTTGTGGGGAGTGATGCGAGGGATGGGATGGGAGGGGCACGCAGGATGGCCTCGAGGGCGTCAGTGGTATCAGAGCTGATCACTGGATCATTCACATGCTCCGCCCATATGGATAGCAGCGCTGATGTTACCACCAACTCCATCTGAGCCGTCACCTCCGCGTCTGATTGGGCGGGACCAAGGGGGGGGGAGTATGGAGGTGTGAGGTTGGGGTGATTTGCGACGGAGACGCATGTTGCAGTGGCAAGGCAGGCAGGCACGGTGGACATAGCGTGGCATGGCATGGCAGGCAGTGCAAGGGTCACCTGAGCGGATGACAGCAGAGAGCAGCTCGAGAGCAAGATGAAGCGTGTCGTCTGATACCTGGTGACCACAGGGGTAAGGGGGGAAGAGGAGAAGCGTGGGGGCAGCAAGTGGAGGGTAGTGGAGACCGTGGAGAAGGTGGCAGGTTGAAATTATAGCTTGGGGGCGAAATGGGGAGTGGTATCTACCAGGTCATATGGTGTGCGAACAGGCACTGCTGGAGGGTGGAGACAGCAATGGGAGGGCCATGGGGAGCAATGTGAGAGCCATGTGCACCGTGCAGGCAGAGCAGCCAAGGCCAGCATATGTGTTTCCTCTCACCTCGGGCAGCATGTGGCTGATACCGGTGTAGATGGCGGGCAGCACGGGCCGGAGGTCCTCCGCTTGCATGTTGGGCGCCAGGCGAGACAGTGCTCGGCACGCCCCTATGCGGATCACCAGTGGCCTGCATTCATGCATGCGAACACACAGCATCAACTGCCAGTCATACCATTCTGGTCGTGCTGCTGTCACAGGCATGCCGCCCGTGGCACACCATCCATCCCAACTCCACGCAATAGCACAACACCCATCCCATCCCATCCCTAGTCATGCCAACCCATCTTCATGCCATCCCATCCTACCCCATCATTACCATGCCATTATATTCCACCCTATCCCCCCATCCCATGGCACCTGTCCTGGCTGAGGGCCTCTGCGGCCACACGCAGCAACTGCACCTTCTTCTCTGTAGGTGCCTGATGACCAGCACGACACACACAGGAGGGGGGCAATGGTGCCGTTTGGTATGAGAAGCATGCACAGAGTCCAGGCTGCATTCCTTCCATGTCCCATGCATGGGACATAAGTGATAGGACATAACTACCATTCAGACACTAAGGTCACACCACACATCATATATGTTATAAAGGCAAACTCTTTGGTTGCCCAGAGGTACATCTCACACCACATTCGATTGCAACCTTACACGCACACCACATCCCATCTTCCTCGTGGCACACCCACAATCGTTGCAAGCACATGCACTCACGTCAGAGGCGAATCTAGCAGCGGCCCAGAGGCAGCGACAGTATAGGAAGGGGAAGTTGACTGCTCCGTCTGGTGGGGAGAGGCGCAGTCAGGGAAGGGATGTATGGCACACGGGTTTGGGGAGCAAGGAGATGGGGGAAACGGAGTAACGGGATGTAGTTTGCACTTCCCTGTTGGGCGAAGTTACATGGTTGGCTTCAGGACAGTCTCACTCGGCTGGCTGGACCCAGGTAGTGCAGGAACAGTGCTTATAAGATGCCATTGAGTTGACTGCATTTCAGTTCAGCACGCATAGATATGAGTAGCAGCAGTGGCAGCAAATGCATGCTAAAACACATACAGACTGAATCACTCACTTGGGCCCAGATCATGCAAGAGCAGAGCATCGAGGAAGGCCTTTGAGTCGAACACAGGCTTGCCCTCCATCTGATGTGCTCCATGCCATGCCACCGGTGTTGTGTGCATGCAGGTATGCGGGCATGCACACATACACAAGCATGCGAGGATGCAGGCATATGTGCACACACATACATGGATACATTCACACGTCACCACACAAACACAGGCACACATATGCACACACAGGCGCATCCGCGAAAACACAGGCACATACATGCGCGCGCGACACACACACACAATGAGGACTGAATAGAATTCATGACAGTGCAGAACCGCAAGTCCACAACCGTGCCTCACACTGAAAGCACACATCCACCAGCCCAGCGTACCTCGTACTGCAGGAAGGTGTCGGCGACCGTACCCGCAGCAAAGATGGCAGCCTCTCGCAACTGCAGGGCGGACGTGGGGCAACGCAGTGGAGATACAGAATGGGAAGGAGAGGAGCAATGGCGCACAGAAGATCCCAAAATCAGCACACAAACATGTAGAGCAGGTATGCGAGTGCCTCTGACCTTCCACCACACTGGCGCATCTCACCTTCCACCAGGCAGGAGCATGCTCTGTGGGGTTCACCACCGCGTCTCCCAGACGCATCTGCATGGCTGTGGATACACCCTGCACTGCCTCCCCCTTGAACTCCACACACAAGGCACCTCTCCTCTCACCTTCCACCAGGCGGGGGCATGCTCTGTGGGATTCACCACCGTGTCTCCCAGCCGCCGCTGCACGGCCGTGGATATGCCCTGCACCGCCTCATCCTTGAACTCTGCCACTAGCTCCTCCAGCAGCGCAGCAGCTGTGAGGGAGGGGTTGGGGGTGTGGGTTGGACAGAAGAGGAAATGATATTCTATGCTCCCACGGCCGTGGATATGCCCTGCACCGCCTCATCCTTGAACTCCGCCACTAGCTCCTCCAGCAGTGCCGTGGCTGTGAGGAGGGCGGGAGGGGGGATGTGTGGGGCATTGTGATGTAATTTGGGTCAGAAGAAAAGTAGATTAAACTGTGCCTCCACGGCTGTGGATATGCCCTGCACTGCCTTACTCCCCCTTGACAGAAGCCACCAGCTGCAGTGCTGCAGCTGTGAGGAGGAAGGTGATGTGGTTTGGGGGGAGAGAAAGTAGGTGGTACAGTGAATTTGTGCAAATATGTGTTATGCTACTACAATGTGAAGTGCCTATTTTTAATGCGACTCTCACCCGAGGTGCGGCAGCTGATGGCCTCGTCGTCCTCCTCTGAGACAAACTCGTTAGTGTCACGCTGCCACTCCTCCTCCTGCACAGGAAAGCGCATGGGAAACCAAGGAAACATCAAGCAGAGCAACGCCACACACGCGGCACAAGGGATGAAACTGAGCAGATGGGTTCAAAGTGCACAATGGGCGATTAGGAGAGAGGCAGGAAACACATGAGCAGGACGAAGCAAAACATGATCAGGAAAGCTCAGGTTGTGAGAAAAGTTGGCGCTGTTTTGTGAAAGCACAGTTCTGCACAGTCACATTACACCGCACCGCACCGCACCACACCGCACCGCACCGCACCACACCAGCACAGCACACGGCCAACCTGAGCTGCGGTGATCTGCATGTAGGCTATGGCGAAGTAGACCAGCGCCTCTGTTGTGCCTTGCAGCCCCTGCTTTGGTCGTCGTGGTGGTGTTTATAAGTTCATGGAAGAAATGCACAGAAATGACTCCTAAGGGTAGAAAGTTATGGAAAGACAGTCACGGAAAGGCAATCAAGTGAAGGCAGTTAGAAAGAAAGAAAGAAGCGCATCTAGGCAGGCAGGGACTCGCCTTTTGGAATCTGGAGTTGGTGGCGAGTGTCAGGAGGAACTCAAAGGCCTGCAGGGCAAACACGTGGACGAGGCGATGGGAAGGGGTCTCAGGTGTCTCAAAGTCAAGAGTAAAAAACGGCAAAGAGGTGATGGGAAGACTTCGGACCCGTCTGAAGAGGCCTAAGAAGGGAACAAGTGACGGGAAGAGGTTTGAGGCGCGCCAAAATAGGAGCCAAAAAAGTGGTGGAGGCCAAGGAAAGAGAAACACCCTCTTTTTCTTCAGTTGGCCGAATCCACCTTGCACTAAACAGCTAGCCTCGCAATAGCCAGAAACCTCACCTGAATGGCAAGCGCAGATAGCTCGTCCGCTGCTGACTCATACCCCTCTCCTCCATCCCCACCTCCCTCTGCTGCTCCCCCTGCCCCCGCTCCTGCCTGAGCACTGTCACTGCTGGTAGCTCCCCCTGCTGTGCCTGCGTCCCCAGCTGCAGCAGCAGTGGGGGGCAGCAGAGGCAAGCCGGCCACCAGCAGTCGCTCGTACAGGGGAATGCCCGACACATAGCTCTGCCACAGTGCTGCCAGTATGCCTGCGAGCCAATGGGAAGTGAAGGAGAGGGGGTCACAGGGAGGTGGGATTGGAATTTGAGATTGAGGCATCGCAAAAACTTGAAGTTGGCAGTTGAGGCAAAACCTCAACTTGAACTCCACCTCCCTCTGACCCCCATCACAAAATCTGAAGACAGAGATGCGCTACAAGTAAGTCTGCCACAGCGCCGCCAGGATGCTGCGAGCCGACGGAGAGAGAAGGAGAGGCGGGGAGGGGGTGGGACCGGTGGGGGGGAAGAGGGGGTGTTGTGGTTAGTTTTTGTGGTCAGCGTTTGTAGATTGAGACGTCACAAAACTCGTAGAAAGGGATGTCTGGCACGTGCCGCAGGAACAAACAGGAACGGCGGGGGGGAGAGGTGAGGGGAGGCAGCAAGGCAAGGCTAGTGAAGAGATGCCGAGGACACGCAAGTGAGCAGAGGACGAGTGAGAAGAGCGTGGATAGGAAGAAACAAGGGGAAAAGGGGGGAAAGGGGTGACGGAGGCAGAAGGGACAGGGAGTGAATAGGGGTCAGAAGATGGGAGGGAGATAGGCAGAGGAAAGAGGTTGAGAGACATATGTACTGGATTCATGAATACCTGGCATTGTCGATTCCAGAAGGGCAGGAAAATGTTGGATGAGCTGAGTCAAGCAGCGGAGCACCTTATAAAGGGGATGGAGAGAAGGGACGCAGACGATATGAAATTAGGCAAAGCTAACATTCTGACATATTCAGTTGCATTCTGACATTCAAACTTGGAATTGCAAACCCCAAACCCCCACCCCCCTTGAAACCTAAACGCAAACATGAGCTGCAAAAGCCAAGCCAATCCCAGGCTAAATCGAACAACACAACATTTTCCGATGCCGCAACGCCCTCACCTCCTTCCTGATACCCCAATCTTGGGGGTCGTGTTGTGAGAGGGGCGAGGAGAGGATGGCAGCGAACTGAGCCACCCACGCAGGCAGGGACTCGCTGATGATCGCCTTGCTCTCCTCCTGTGGGCCAAAAGAAAAAGAGGGGGGGTAACGGAGAAAAAGGGGGCAGTGGGTGGGGGATGGAGGGGAGGGAGAGGTGTGTTTTAGGTCGACTTATAGTGGAGGAGTTGGGGGAGAATGAGGGTTTGGTGCACTACCTGCCTTCCTGCATGGTGCACAAAAAACAATGGCGCACAAAACCCACAACCCCCATCCCTCTCACTTGGTACATGATATGGTAAATCTACCCTCCCCCTCCCCCACCCCTCCTCACCTGGTACACGGCGCTCATGATGCCCAGGGTGGCCACGGTGGCTCTCAGCACACTCAGAGTGGCGAGTCAACTCACACCACAGCACTGCACTGCACTGCCTGCATGACGCACTGAAGGAAGTAGACACGTGGTACACCATGTTCCCTCTCCCCCCCCTCTCCCCCCACCTGGTACACGGCGCTCATGATGCCCAGGGTGGCCACGGTGGCTCTCAGCACACTCAGAGTGGCGAGCCAACTCACACCACAGCACTGCACTGCACTGCCTGCATGACGCACTGAAGGAAGTAGACACGTGGTACACCATGTTCCCTCTCCCCCCCCCCTCCCCCCACCTGGTACACGGCGCTCATGATGCCCAGGGTGGCCACGGTGGCTCTCAGCACACTCAGAGTGGCGAGTCAACTCACACCACAGCACTGCACTGCACTGCCTGCATGACGCACTGAAGGAAGTAGACACGTGGTACACCATGTTCCCTCTCCCCCCCCCCTCCCCCCACCTGGTACACGGCGCTCATGATGCCCAGGGTGGCCACGGTGGCTCTCAGCACACTGAGAGCTCTCCTGCGCGCCGATGGGCGATATGCCTGGCGGGTGCATGCAAGGGGGTTGGTTGGATGGATGCACGCAGAGCGGCGGCACAGGGGATTTGGGGGAGAGTGGGGAGGAGGAGGGAGGAGAGAGGAGAGATGTGGGAGGAGGGTATGGAGGGTATGGAGGGTACAGAGGAGACAGTGGATTGTGTGGGAGCTCCGTAAGACAGACAACAGTGGAGTGGAGGGTGTGGAGGAGAGATATGGGATCGTGAGGGGCCGGAAGCTGCAATCACCTTGCAACTCCTCAGGATATTTCAGCTGGCGGGATTTGACCTTTATATACGATCACCTAATGCGTGTGGGATGCACCTGGTGTGGGTTGCACCTGGTGTGGGTTGGTGCACCTGGTGCGGGTTTCACCTGGTGTGGGTTTTACCTGGTGTGAGTTGTTTCCTTGGTGTGGTTTCACGATTTCACCTGCAGTAAGTTTACCAAGGTTGGACCCACCTGGTTGGGGTTTGAGACGATGGCGAAGATGGGGGGGAAGAGCTTGGGCACAAGTGCGGGCAGCTGCGCATCATCAATCTCCTCTGCAAAAAGAGACAGACACTCCACTGCCGCTGCCACTGCTCATACGAGAGGGCGGAGGAAGGAAGGAACGGGAGGATAATCACAACAGTTGCAAAGCTATTACCCTTCGCAGTAGCTCCTCCTTCCCACCTATCAATACCTCCCCTCCCCTTTCTCCTGCTTCTTTCCCCCTCCACCCCCTCCCCGCCCCACCTCTGTTGGGGTGAGCAGTGTCGGCCAGGGCGGCCATGAGATGGTCCATCAGCTCTGGCCACTCCTCCGGCCAATCACAGGATGCCACGTGTGCAATCGCGAGGCCCACAGCTGACTGGACCTTGGGCTCCTCGTCCACCAGCCCCTGGAGGAGGAGAGCCCGCACCGCTGCCTGCCAGGATGGCACAGATTGGTGACGTGGCAATGGCACGATGGATACTGTGGGAGGATCTACAAGACAGGACGTATATGAGATAAGCCTGGGAACGTGAAACGCGCGTGCCAATAATGCATGCGCATACTGGTCTACTAGTACCACAGAGGCGCATGCCAATATTGCTGTGCAGCACCCCCAATCTCCTCCATGCTCCATGCTCCCCCTGCCAGCACCACCAACCTCTTCTGCACGACCTGTGGCTGCAGCGGCACTACTGGTACGTGCAATAGGCAGAGAGTGGTGCGAGCCACATCACTCATACACGAGTGCAAAAGGCGCAAGCTAGACATTCCTCACTATCCTCTCCCTCTCTTCCCCTCTCACCCTGCCCCACTCTCGCCCTCTCCCAACCTCCAGTCTCCCACTCCCCACCTCCCCTCTCCCATCTCTCCTCCCCCCTCCCCTTTCCAACCCCCCGTTTTCCCTCTCCCAGTTTACCTTGTCCTCCGGTGACACAGTGAATTTCTTTCCTCCCCCTCCCCCCTCTCCCTCCTCCTCCTCGTCACCCGCCTGCCAGTGCCTCTGCACCACCTGCCGTAGCAGCACTGCCGCTAGGTGCACACCGAAGAGCACGAGAAGCATCGCCAGGAATATGAGAAGTATTACAGCGAACGAAGGGGTGGTGGTAGAGAGAGAGGGGGGAGATGGAAGGGAGAGGGGGGGCATGGAAGGGAGAGGGGGGAACACGGGAGGAGAGGAGGACGAGGGCCAAGCGAGGGACGCATGGGAGATGGAAAACGAAAAGAAGTTGCAAGCACGAGGACAAGTTAAGGAAACCCTTTTGAGAAAGGTGGGTATCTAGAGGAGAGGCCAATTGCACGCAAAGCAGACAAGTGAGGGAGCTAAACAGGAGCCTGCTGTGGGGTCAGGTCAGATGTGCATCCCGGGTGGGGTGAAGCGGACGAGGAGGAGGATATTTGTCGTGTCCCAGCGTCGAGGCCCTTGTTGCCCGCCACCCGCATCAGCGCAGGCGCGTAGCCTGCACGGCGCGCATGGGTGGTGGTGAGAGATGCGGGATGGTCGGAAGGGGTTTAGGGATTGCGTAGCGGGCGACCAGGAGCATGAACAGAGGAGCTTGAGCACACGCGGGACGAGGGATGAGGGGCGTGAGACGTGGGACGTGGGACGAGGGACGTGGGACGTGGTACGAGGGACCTGGGATGCAGCATGAACAGAAAGGATTTTTCTACATGTACACGAGTGGTTGGGAGGCACGTGGAGGCCAGCAGTGGCGTTTTGACAAGCCACGTGGCATTCGCACGGGAGTCGAGCGACGAATCTAGCGTGTGGGACTGGAACACACATTCGTATAGTGCAGCGGGCCGGCGACAACGTAACGACGCGCAGAAAAGTATCACCGCCTTGCGACACAACTATCATCCCCCTTGCGACACAACTATCATCCCCTTGCGACACAACTATCACAGCCTTGCGACACGCCTTTCGTCGCCCAGCGACACACAGCCTCGGAACACACGGACCGCCACACCTAGCATCGCCGCGTGACACACCTGCCATCGCTTCGGCCTGTCGCAGCGCCTCTTCCGCGACAACGCGGTTGGTGTTTCCCGGATCCAGGCATTCCCTCAGGCGACACAACAGCCACTCCTGGTCCGCCGTCTGTGACGAAGCGGCCGCCATTGCCACTTCTTCTTTCAAATCTTTTCCGAAACGTCGTCACTGACTTGCACAAAATGAATGCTGTCTGCCGAAATCTTTCCTCGATTCACCTAAGCTAGAATCTACGTAGTTGCGAACCTTTGGCTGACTAGAAACAATCCCGAATTCGCATTTACTGGGCAACTGTGCGACGGTTGAGACGAAGATGCTTGAGCAAATCCTTGATGCGTGCGTGGAAATAGCTGTTCGGGTTGCTACAAGGCGTCAATTTCAAGAACGAGGAAACCACTCGACCTATCCAGCTGAGAGCAGGATGGGCTTGACAACGAGAGCAATGCGAGGCACCCAGGGAGGGAGATGTGTTGACAGAGGTGACCAGCGGTGAATACCGATGGTGGAGCGAAGGGCACAAGACGGAACGGGACTGCATGGGAGCAAAGATGTTGCCGATGTTCCGCCTGCAGCGCAGGAAATCCATCCATCCGCACGATGACGAAAATGGATGGGTGCCTGCAAGGCCCAGCAGCCACTTGTGGGGTCAGAGTGTACACTCGTTACCTTATACAACTGTAGTAGGATTATTCCTTTTTTGGTCATTGAGGTTTCCAACTAGCTATTATGCACCATGGATGTGCCTTGTCTGCTGTTGAGACAATAATCTTTTATAATTCTGTATTTTAAACCCAGATAAATATTGCCCGCTTATAATGATAAGGGCATAACGATTGGAGACCGTTAAAAACAGGGAGTTAAAAACAAGGATAGCAATCTGGAAAAGGCATTGGAGAACTGGCTTGTTCACATTTTTTACATTTCAGCCGCTGATGATGTATGTGAATGTATCATATTATGAATGAAGCGCATCCAAGATTGGTAGACATGCTTCCCATTGCACACAGAGCACCACATAGAACAAGCAGCATTCAAATAACATGGAGAAGCTCAATAAAATTACAAACCAAACAGGTGAGATGATTCCAAACCCATCTTCCTACAGGGAACCTAAGGAACAAATGGAAACGGGGCTGGAAGGCTGGCCTAACAATTCTCTGGAAGCTGAGGAATGGCGCTGTCCACCCTGTTACTAGCTGGACAAGAGGAGAGTAAGGGTTGTTCCATCAACACACAGCTCAAATCTGCGTCACAGTACATGTGTCGTTGATGTACTGCAGCGCCATGGGGTTAATGTTCACAATACACTCCATCAAATGGGTGTATACCGGCGACACGACCTTCCATATCACATCCACGTGCGCGCGGAGCGTGGCATTCAGCCTGAGCGGAACGTACTGCTCCGCAATGTCGGAGCGCAGCGCCATTCCGCCGCCGTACAGGGGGAAGGCCATGGTGGAGGCGGACCCGTTGAAGCTGTTCCACTCCAGCTGGTTCTGCTTGAACTTGGGGAACTGCGCGCGAGAGGGATTACAACAGAGAGCAGCCAATACAGAAACCGTTAAGGCGGCATGCCGGGATCGTGAGATTCAAGCAGAAATAAAGCCAAAGCCAAGGGGATAAAACAGCGGAGCTATACGGGGAAACACTGGCAATTCATGCCTTGGTGAACTAACAGGTGGAAGGTACAATACTGAAACACGCAATGCCAACGAGCGGACAGGGAGGATGACTCACGCGGCCCTTCATCATGGTCTTGATTGAGCTGTAGCCGATGCTCACGTCGCCGCCGTCGAACCACGAGACGTAGCGCGTGTTGGGGTTGCGGATGGAGAAAATGAGCGTGAGGTTGGCGTACAGCTGGTCCGTGGGCAGCCCGTTGCCGTCCAGCATGTCTTGAAACGTCTGGAACTCGTTCACCATCGCGTACTGCGGACGCGGGGAGGAAGAGCAGGGAGAGTGAGGCAGTGTAAGAGAACTGGGATGGGGACATGCGAGAGACGGCGCTAGCTGAGAGCGGCTGAGACTCCGTGATTAGAGGGAAGCATTGGGACGGAAACAAAATGAATCTGATAAGTATATCCTGGTTCCCGACGTACATCCATGGTGTATGTGGGCGGTGTTGGCTGGTACACCACCCACGCGATAATGCACCCCGCGACGATGAGCGCCGCGACGACCAGCAGCGACCACAAGCAGAAGCACTGTTTGAAGCGCTTCTTGCGGAACTTCTCCCTCTGAATGTCCGGATAAAACTCGTCCTCGTGATCCGAGTCGTCGAACACCGCCTCTTCGCCAAACTTTCCTCCGCCCATCTCCGCGTATCCCTCCGGGTGCTGCGGCGACGACGGCGCCGAGGATTCCGGCGATTCGTTCACGCGCGAGGTGCGAATCGAGTGCGCGGGAGTCTGCACGAAGTAGGTTTCCGTTGGGCGATACAGATGGCTGCCGTGGATCGACCCGCTGGACATCAAGTAAGGGTCGTATGCGCTTGGAGTCTCGACCGTATAGCCTGGGTTCTCGTATTGTGGCGCGTAGTAAGGGGACTGAGAGGCGTTGCGCTGGCTGCGTAGGGGGGATGCGGTTGGGGAGCCTTGATCGCTGCCATCGCCGGCGTCTCCGCCGTTCTTGTAGGCCCACGAGGGAGTGCGGTTGAAGGATTTGTTCGACGGCCCGCCGTAGAGAGGGTTGCGTCCACTCGGTGGAATGTTGCTTCGGTCTGACATGCTGTCTACGCTTTGGGCTCGACAATGCTAGAGTCTGGCTGAATGGGGGCGGATTGGTCTATCGAGGAAGTCACTTGAGAAATGCGAGTGAGACACCAGTCATGAGAATGACGTTTTGAGACGTGCGTGCAGTCGTAATTCTAGAGCTGGATTGTGGGAGAGCAAGGGCAGAGACAAATGTGGAGCCAGGCAGGGCGCAGCAGGATGAAAAGGGGGGCGAATCGGGGGAACACGCGCTCTCGCATCGCGCGTGTGGAGTCGCTGTGATTGTGCATCGATGGAGGAAAGTGCTGATCATCGACGGTCAGCAGGGAAGGTTGAGGTTGTTAGATTGTTTTGAATTCGATGTAGTCAAGTCGAAGCCCCTTTTAGCAGGTGTTGCATCTCATACAAGAACTTTTGCGCACAAGTCGTCTTTCCACGCGCCTTGGATTGAAGCCCTGGGCTGGTCTGGGCTGGTCTGGCCTGGAACCAAATGGTCATTCAGCGGTTCGTGAAAAAAGGCATCGTTACTAGAACAGGCTCAGAACTCTCGACCTCGCTTAGCACAAATTAATGTTACATCATACGAGAGTGGATCTGCGAATATTGTAGTTCATAAAACGCATTTTCATACAGCGGGAATATTTTGTCAGTGCCAAGATACCCTGTGTAACTGAACGACGACACACGACACCAATGGCTGCCATTGAATATTCGCGAAACAATGTATTAGCATTTGCCTCTGTTCGTCGTTTCGTCATTCCCGGTGGCATTTGGTAGGGAGAACCAACCACCTCGGGATTGCCCAATCGGAACAGGATAGTGCCACGGTTTCTGGTGGGAGAATCTGGAGATTTGCGTGTGCCTTGGCCAATACACCCATCATGACTTCAGCATTTTTATAGTCAAGCGGATTTGACTGGACGGCGACCACCTATCATCGCCATGAATAGCACGTAATGCGCTCTAGGACCGTCACGGACGCTCGCATTGCGAGTTGGAGCAAAACTGGCCATAAAGTGGTGAATCCTGTTCCAAGACGCTCGCACTAGCAACAGATCCGGCAATGAAGCTTCCAGATCAACGGTTTGCAACATTTTCAACGCCACAGGTCTGCATGGCATAATGCATACGGGAATTGCGGCCTAGCTTACCTCGCACATTGTTTCTTGTAGTGAAGAATTTGTTTACATTCGCGAGCTTCTACTATCAATCAGCTATATCCGGATAATTAGGACCGGCAATACGTAGCGCGAAACCAATTGCCACGTACAAAATGGCGACTACGAGCAGTCGATCCGTAGCAGGGTACAGCAGCAGCCAGCACCTCAAGGAGCGCGCGACGGGAGCTCGAAGCCCCAGAGAATACCGCGACGAGGAGGATGATGAGCGCGAGCACGGACACGAGGCACACAGCCCCACTGGCGGCTCGTTCGACGAGGGGATGTTCCGCCAGGCTGGCAGTCCACGTGGCTTCGGCAGCGCGTTCCACGCAGGATCGCCGTACCACAGAGTGTTGGTGCGATTAGGCGTGGCTCGACTATCCATGGACCAGTTTGGAGCGCGGCTTGTGCTACTAACGGGATTGCTGATGGTTCTCGTGTGGGGAGTGCGTGACGTGTGGGAGGAGATGAAATCTAGGGCTGCCACGCAGGGCACGTGTCCCCTTCCGCGTGAATTCCGGCCGTCGGATGAAGAGCTACTGGGCCGGCTTCCGCAGTACAAGCGGCTGGTGTTGACGCAACCCATGGCGGTTAAATACCTGCAGCTGATCCACAAGTACCTGGAACCGTGGCGCCCTATCAAGGTCAGTATAAGCAGGCCACAGATGCACTCACCGAATGGGCAAGGCGCCGCTCCTCGTGCTCTTCCTCTGAACTCACACACACTCGCCTTCCATGAACTGCGCACATCCCTCCCATTCACGCTGCACCGCCGATTCCCTCCACCAGAATCTGACCTCAGGAGTGGGGAGGACGGGCATTGTGACGCCAGAGGCGCTGGCGCGGATGAGCAAGACGCCCGCCATCATGTTTCTTGCCCTCGAACCGCTATTTCCCATCTGCATATCTCCCCTCCGCCAAAATCTGACGTCGGGAGTGGGGAGGACGGGCATTGTGACGCCACAGGTGCTGGCGCGGATGAGCAAGAAGCTCAAGAAGATCCGTCCTGTCCCTGAACACCTTTTTCCTGACTGTGTTTTTTCCTTGAAACGCAGAACCTGACGTCGGGAGTGGGGAGGACGGGCATGGTGACGCCAGAGGTGCTGGCGCGGATGGCGAGGACACCCGCCATCATGTCGTGCGCGGGGCACGTGAAGGTGATCAACGGCAAGGTGTTCTTCCGCTACGGGGGCTTTTTCCGCGAGTACTACCGCCTCAACCGCTTCCTGCAGACCGTCAAGATGATCCACGTGCGTCGGCATGGCATGGCATGGCATGGCATGGCATGAGATGGCATGGGTCAAGGGTGATCGAATTCGAGGGCATGATTCGAGCGCATGGGGCACGTGAAGGTGGTGAAGGGCAAGGTGTTGTTCCGCGAGTACTACCGCCTCCACCGCTTCCTGCACCCCGTCAAGATGATCCAGGTGCGTTGCGTCCATGCTATGCCTTGTGGTTTTGACCATGAAGAGTATGCATGATGGGGGATGATGGGAACACAGCACCCCAGCCTCACAAGATTCAATCCATCATGCCTTCCCTCCCTTTTCCCCTTTCCCCCTTTCCCCTTGAACCTTACTCCTCGGGACGCGGTGGTGCAGTACCAGTTGAGGGACATGCATCTGGAGCTGGACGTGAACACAACACCCACTCCCTTCTCCTCCCCTCTCGCCCTTCATCTCCTTCCAATCAGCAACTGCGAGGACGCGGTGGTGCAGTGCGGTACCAGCTGACGGACATGCGTCTGGAGCACATGCGGCACCCTCACACGCCCACCCAGCCTCTCCCCACACTCGCTTTCTTCTCCGCCCCTCTTTTTCCCCCATCTCCTCCCCAACAACCGCCAGGACGCGGTGGTGCGGTATCAGCTGGCGGACATGCGCATTGAGCTGTTTGTGAACACGTGCGATCTGCCCATGGCGTTCTACAGCAGCCACACTGAAGCAACTCGAAACACCACTTCTCCACCAACCCCCCCACCCCTCACCTCCCCATCAACCCATCAGGACGCGGTGGTGCGGTATCAACTCACAGACATGCGCATTGAGCTGTTTGTGAACACGTGCGATCTGCCCATGGCGTTCTACAGCAGCCACATTGACGACCGCCCCGGCATCCCCATGATGAGCACGGGCTTCACTGCCGATACCATAGATATCCCCGTGCCTGACCCGCTGGACCTCACAGAGGATTACACTCCCGACCTGGCCACACAGGTGGGGCTAGTGCGCTGTGTGGGCTTGCTAGTGTCCTCTATGTGCTTGCTGTTGCATGGCATGGCATCCCCATGATGAGCACCGGCTTCACTGCCGATACACACCGGACCTGGCCACACAGGTGTGTGTTTTCACTGTTGTACTGCCCCTAAACAATGACCATGGCATCTCATCCCCATGATAAGCACCGGCTTCACTGCCCACACCCCACCCCCCTCCCCGTTCAGATCCCATGGGAGCGCAAGGAGGCGCGCGCAGTGTTCCGCGGCAAGACCACTTTGACTGTTTAGGTTGCCTCAAAAACGTCGTCCATGCCCCATTCTCCTCCCCTCTCCCCCCTACCCCCTACCCCCTCGACCCTCGCGCCTCAGATCCCCTGGGAGCGCAAGGAGGCGCGTGCAGTGTTCCGTGGGAAGACCACGTCGTACCATCTGAACGACGGAAACTGGGGTGCCAACCCCCGTATTCGCCTGCACCGCATCTCCGACGCGCACCCGTCCCTCATGGACGCACACATCAACAGGTGAGGCTGCCCTTCCTCAGAGCTAAATTTTGAGTCGACTCAAAAGTAAACTGTGAGGTGCCTCGACTGGAGGACCAACCCCCATGTGCGCGTGCACCGCATCTCGGGAAGACGCGCAGGGTGCGATGGTGAAGGACGGCGTGGTGACGGCGCCGCGCATGAACTTCACACAGTTCAACGCCTTCAAGTCCTGGTGGACGGTGGGGGGGGCAGCTGCCGGCTCACAACCTTCTTCTCCCGATTCTCTAACACTCATGCCCCTCTCTCCTTCCTTTCATGCCCCTCTCTCCTTTCCCCACGCATGGTTCTGTTCTGTCCTGTCCTCCTCCTCAGGTGGTCCCACTCACGCGGAGACGCGCAGGATGCAATGAAAGCTGACGGCGTGGTGACGGCGCCGCGCATGAACTTCACGCAGTTCAACGCCTTCAAGTATCAAGTCCTGGTCGACGGGGGGGGGGGCAGCTGCCGCACGTGCGGGGTGCTGCGCTCCAACCAGCTGAGCATCCGCCAGGAGACACCTATTTTCCAGTTCTATGAGCCGCTGCTGCAGGACAGGGTGCACTGGCTGACCACCACTCGCACGTGAGTAACCATGGCAAAACCAGTTTGCAGCGTACGTGTGCACGTGGACCGGCCGCAATCTCTACTGGGGACTCATGCTCGCCAACACCTCCCGTCACTTGCCTCCTTGCTCTGTCTTTGGCGTCTAAGACTCACTCTTCTCACTCCTCCCCCCCTCCTCCCTCCTCACCCCCCTCCCCCTGTCTCCCCCCAGCTTCTCGGACCTGCCGGAGAAGGTGCGGTGGGCGCAGGAGAACGACGAGGAGGTGCAGCGGCTGGTGCAGGCGGCCAACCAGTTTGCAACGTACGCGTGCACGTGGACCGGCCGCACTCTCTACTGGGGGCTCATGCTCGCCAAGTATTATGACACGCTGCAGAACCCAGAAGCTATTACAGAGCCTCCCGTCAAGCAAATCTGTGATAAAAGGTGTGTGCTTGCTTGGCACCCCCTGCTGTTCATCACTCTCTATTGTGCTGCACTCTCTACTGGGGGCTCATGCTTGCCAAGTACTACGACACGCTTCAGAACCCAGATGCCATCACCGAGCCACCTGTGAAGCAGATCTGCGATAAGAGGTGAGTGATTGGACTGCTTCTGAGGTGCCTCAAAAGTCACTCCACTGGGGCTCATGCTGCTGCTGCTTGCCAAGTACTACGACACTCTCCAGAACTTAGATGCTATTACAGAGCCTCCTGTGAAGCAGATCTGCGATAAGAGGTGAGTGTATGTTTGGCGCTCTCTGCTGCTTACCACCCTCTGCTGCTGGCCACCCTCTGCTGCTCCTCGCCCTCTGCTGCTCTGTCTCGATGCACTAGAAGTGAAGTGCACAGACTTGTCAAGAAGAGCTGCAACAGAAGGCTTGAACAAACAAAAACACATTTGCACCTCTCATGCAATCCCTTCCGTTCTCCTCCCTCCCTCCCTCCTCCCAGCCCCATGTTAAAGGCACCACCAAACACAACGGCGGATCCAGCATCAGTGAAGTGTGCGGAGCGGACCCAGATGGCCCCAAGCAGTTACCGTATAGCATGAGGCAAAACACATTTGCACCTCTTATGCAATCCCTTCCCTCCCTCCTGGCAGCCCCATGTTAAAGGCACCACCAAACACGACGGCGGATCCAGCATCAGTGAAGTGTGCGGACCCAGACGCCCTCAAGAAGAACCCCGACTGTATCTTCTTCTGCTCCTCCGGCACCATCAACCACTTCCTCTGGCACAAAGCCGAGGCCCTGGCAGACCTCAAGAAAGTGGGGCCTCCCTGATACAGAGAGTGAGAGAGCAACAAGCATGAATTGAACTCCCAAGAGGAATACCTACCCCTAGCACTTGCAGCTGTTACCAGGTAACCATGACAAGCTGCTTCATCCGCCCTCAAGCAGATGCTCTAGCAGCCCTTGAGGCAGTACAGTAGGCCCTCCCTGGGGCAGGGATAGCAAGAGAGAGAACGTGCAGACACCCAGAGGGCCTTGAGAAGAAGAATCCTGACTCAATCTATGCATATGCATCTACAGCAGCCAAAGGGAGAATGAATATAAATGTAGAAGTATGTGTCACGAGAATAAAGTTTATGTAGCGTGATGTGTAGTTATGAAGGCCTTGCAATATATCCCATCAACAAGGCCCTCTTCGAGTTTCTCCAGGTGTTGGCCTCTTTAAAGGTTTCAAACCATGTTCTTTACATCACTATGGTATCAGTTCCAAACAAATATAATCTGCACTGTTCCGATCCGACGGTCACATCATAGCACAATGGGGATAATGAAGGGGTGAGTGAGGACTCAGGTGGCAGGCGTGCCATCCTCATACTCCTGGCAGCCGTCATTCACCCCCATGAGCAGCCCCCACCGCAGCAGCTCATCCAGATCCTTGAGACTGACAGCATGCATGCCAAAAGATGGGGGGAGGGGGTGTGAGTGGGGGAGGGTGTGGGGTTTCTATTGAGTCGACTTTTATATAGGGGTGGGAGAGGAGGGGGGGGTTGGGGATTGTGGAATTTTTTTTTGAGTCGACTCAAAAGCACCGCGGCAGCTCATTTAGGTCCTTGAGTCTGACAGCATGCATGCCAAACGATGGTGGGCAGAGGGTGGGGGGGAGGGGGTTCGTGGGGGAGGGGAGAGAGGCGTCGAGAGGGGGATGGGGAGGACAGGGGGAGGAAGCTCGTTGCAAGTGAAGCACCCGGTAACAAGGAGACAACGCCAAAAAGAGGCTGGAAAATAAGCAGGAGACGATACATCATTCAACGAGCAGGAAGTGTCTGTTCTAAAGAGCAGGAAGTGCAATAAGAAAAGGCCTGCGGCGCCTTACTCATGCATTCTGAGGCGCCCTCAAAACACCGATCCACTCACGTGATTGGCCTGATGCGCGGATGAAGTTTCTCCTCCTTGCCTTCACTCCACTGTGCATGGTACAGCTGCCACCTGGCGAGCTCTGGTTGGCTGGCTGCAAGGGTGAGAGCGGCTACATCTGAGTCGATGTAATGCATTGTGTTGGCTGTGTCATGGGCTAGAGGCCTGCTGTTCACCTGGTGGGTGGAATGAGATGGGAAAGAAACATATGTCATGACATGATATGCGAGTGGCTGGATTCAAGTCGATGTAATGCATTGTGTTGGCTGTGTCCTGGGCTAGAGGCCTGCTGTTCACCTGCATGGGTGGCATGAGGTGGGATGGGGATGGAAGGAAACATCATGATATGAGAGCAAATACATTTGAGTACATGTAGTGGATGGTGTTGGGTCGGCTGTCTCATGGGCTAGAGGCCTGCAGTTGACCTCTATGGGTGGCAAGAGGTGGGATTGATGAAAACGCCATGGCAAGGCCTGGGAGGAGACGACATGGCATAGAATGGCATGGGATGACGTGGCATGGGACCACGTGGCAACAAGTGCAGTGGGAGAAGGGAGGGAGGCACTGTACACGCACAGCGAGAGAGCAGCAAGTTTGCCCTCCCCTTCCCCTTCTCCAGCCACTGTGATGATCCGCGGCGAGTCCTCGGGAATACTTTTGAGTCGACTCAACACAGCAAGAAGGAAAGAGGTTCACATACAGCGAGTAGAGCAGCAAGTTTGCCCTCCCCTTCCCCTTCTCCAGCCACTGTGATGATCCGCAGCGAGTCCTCGGGAATATTTTTGAGTCGACTCAACACAGTGAGAAGGAAAGAGGTTCACATACAGCGAGTAGAGCAGCAAGTTTGCCCTCCCCTTCCCCTTCTCCAGCCACTGTGATGATCCGCGGCGAGTCCTCGGGAATATCCACTCCCGCATCGCGCTTCAGGAGCGCGCTGACGTCAGCAGGCGAGAGAGAGGAGGAGGAAGAGGAGGAGGCGAGGACGTAGAAGGGCAGGGAGGTGGTTCTGAGCGCCTCGGCTGCTGGCTCGAGGAGACCGTCGGAGAAGGGCTTTAAGAGCATGCCTTGGAAGCCGATGACGAACGCGTCAATGGCTGCGCGGATGGCTCCAGATGCTCGTCTGATGGGGAATAGAGGACAGGGACGAGGACGAGAGTGAGTTACGTTCTGATGAGGAGAATGGATGACGAAGCTGCAACAAATGTGGTTGATGAGGCGAGTACAGGCAACGCGGCACGTCAACTTGCCTTTTTGGGGAGTTTCGCCTTGCAACGGCAGGAGGATGGCAGGGGATTCGAGTCGCGCCGCCTTGCAAGCACGCCGACTTGTGGAAACCTAGCAGCTGGGAGGATCTCGTCCCGCCTCTCCGCTCAGAGGGCTCATGACGAGGATAAATAGTCGCGCGCACCGATGAGCTATTACAATGGTTGCGACTCGGCGCGCAGCGTCGACTGCGGCTGTGAGAAGTGCGCGCCGAGCCCGTGACGTGCAGGGAGGTGGGGAGGGAGGGCGAGGCTGCACAGGCGAACATTTTGCGAATTCGGTTAGGAGACGAGGGAAAATGGCGGAAATCCCAAGGTGGGATGGAATGGTCTGGAAATGGCGGATGCGAGCAAGCAGGAAATAAATTCGGGGCCGAATGGGGGACAACGAGATTGCATCGTGTTTTGTTATCTGCGTTTGTGAGTCGCACAATAAGGGAACGGATATTATTGATACAGCGCAGGCGGCCGAAACCCGTTTCCCACTTATTTTATACGTATCATCTCCATCTCCATGACATCTGCCAACCCACAATAAATGCGAGCGCAGGAATCGTCCTAAACCAAAATTCCTATCCAAATGCCACCAGCGAAGTTCCCCTCCCCATGTGCTTCCAGACCGGAATGGGAGAAGAGAAGCAGACCGGAGCTGCAGTCGTAAGAGAGCTTCAAGCGAACAATGAGAGCAACGAGCGCTTCACCTCACCTCACACCACACACTGTGTGCTGTGATGTGATGAGCACGCTGCCTGGAAGTAGCGCGTGAAGCTCAGCATATCGTACGAACGCCAGACGAACAACAACCGCCGCTCATCCAAAGCGCAACGCAACGAAATCCTTCACATTCTCGCCCACGCCTGCGCATCAGCCAACGTTCTGCCAGGAATCTTGACGCACTAAAAAATCTAACCACGTTCTACCAGGAATTTCTCACGATGGTAGGCAAGCCTGCACGCTCGCGGTCTGGCCGCACTCTAACGGGAGGTGGAGGCGACAACATCAGGACTGACAACGGCGACGCGAGCGGCGAGCAGGGCGGCATGCCGGGCGAGCTGGTTGAGTCCATCGAGACATTCATCCGCCACCACGCGGATCTTTCAGATGACTCCGTCACTGCACTGGCTAACGGTACGTTAATGCTGACAAGCAGTCAGTTTTTCTGTTGACTTGTTGACTTAAGCAGTGGAGTCCATCGAGACCTTCATCCGCCACCACGCGGATCTCGCTGACAACTCCGTCACTGCACTGGCTAACGGTCAGTTAGTGGGTGCCGGCTGTCAGTGCTGGGTAACGGTCCGTTAGTGCTGCATTGAGGCACCTCATTTGTCCATCGATACGTTCATCCGCCACCACACGGATCTCGCTGACAACTCCGTCACCGCCCTGGCTAACGGTCCGTTACTGAGCCGAGTCGACTCAAAAGTCACGTGTGCCACGGCCGTTGGCCAACGGTCAGTTGGTAAGTCGAGTCAAAAGGTGGAGCCCATCGAGACGTTCATCCGCCACCACGCACTGGCTAACGGTCAGTTAATGCTGGGTCACAAAAGTGACGGTAACGGCCAGCATAAGCCGGTCTGATGTGCCACTCAAGCGCTCCAATTGTTTCTGCAGCATGCTGACGCCCGAACTGGACATTCCTTTCCCCATTACGCATTTCCCCTTCCCTGTTCTACTATCCCCTCTTTACCCCAACAGTGGCCTACTTCCTGTTCGCCATGTCAGAGCTCACCCACCATCCACTCGCACCGCACATCCCCAGGTGAGTTGCCTCCTTCTGCATGCATGGATTCCATGATTTTTAATGTTACTTTTGAGAATTCTCAAAAATTACGCCTCAAAGCTGACTCAGAGCCAAATAACTGGTCACCTTGTAACGAGTATGCCTTCATCTGTCCTGGTAACCCTACCAGGGGTCTGCGGCAGCGCATGGCCCAGGTGGTGCGGAGTTCCAAGGAGGGCCTGCTGGTGTGGCGCGCTGCCTCCCTGCTCGCACTCACCGAGGCCTCTGGGGACAGCGAGGTGAGGGAAGAAGGGTGGGGGGCCGTGAAATGAGGTGAGAGGGGTGGGGGGAGAGGAACCAGGTTCGGGGGCTGAGGGGAGCTCCAAGGAGGGCCTTCTGGGGGGAACGAGGTGAGGGACGGTGGGGATGGGAGGAGAGGAGTGGGGAGGTGAAGGGAGCGAGGCGAGGGAGGGGAGAGGAATGGGGGAAAAGCTGCAAGAGGAGGGGTGAGGGGAGATTGATGGGGCAGAGAGGGGTGAGGGGAGTGGGGCGAAGGGCAAGAGGTGGGGGGAATGGAGAGAGGAGAGAGGTGAGGGGAGCGAGATGAGGGAGTGGTGAGAGTGTGTCTCATCCGCTTGTCTCTCACCCATCGCCCTGTCTCTCCTGTGGTTGATTTTTAAGTCGACTTAAAAATCGACTCATCACACGCGGGTTATACGTGGAGAAAATGTTTGTTGCGTGGAAAATTGGTTGTAACCTTCAGAGGTTACTGGTGCGCGCGCGACTTCCGAAGTTGCCCCTTGGCGAAAATCTGAACCCAACCCTTCACGCTGACACTTTCGAGGAAGTTGAAGACGTGGCTGCCTGAAGTTTTCGAGGGTGGTCTGGATTGGTCCCCGTCATTTGGGTGACCTGGGTGTGGATAGCCTAGAGTTCGCTTTCTTAGAGGCCTTGCTTCTCTTTAGAGGCATTGCTTAGCCCTTCTTTCTCATTGTTGGCACTGATGAAGGTCTGATCGGGCCTTTCCCCCGTAATAGACCGAAACATGTTTGTCCCTGTTTTACTCTACTGCTAAGAATTTGGGTTCTAAGATCGTTCTGAGCACTTAGTTGTACATAGAGCGGAATTTTACTGCTGTTTTTTCCTTTGCTTAAGCCTACTGCACGCACGCAGCTCACTGAGCCATGTCCGGATCTCGCGTGGAACTTTCGATTCACTCAGAAGAAGCCGGGCGTGCAGAAGGCAGTTCTGCTATTGTAATTCGTGAGGCGGGTTACTCTGCGAAGACTTACGCGGGCTATCGTGCTCACAAGCGGTCCCGCCAAGCCAACCAGACTTCAATTCCCGTTTCAACTCACGAACCGACATCGCACAACGAGCAAACAAATTCTCTTCCCGACATGGATGTGGAAGCCGCTCCGAACGCTGCTGCTGCGCCGGCTATGGCTGGCACGGGCAACAATCCTCCTGCTTCGTCGGATCCGTCCATTAGTATTCCTGAACTTCTCAAGGGCTGGACGACGAAGGCAGTCAAGGATTTCAGGGCGGATTTCAAGTCACTCCTGAAGGCGAAGTCCAAACTTCAGAAGATGAAGTTACTCGATGAGCAGGGGGTGATACTTCACAGTCTACGCACCAAGCCCGTCGAGTTTCAGACAAAGTACCCGAGCGTACGGGAGAAGTCTGCTGCGTCGGTTGCCGCGCTTCATCTGGAAAATCAGAAACGAATCCAGAAGGACTTCATTGCGTCTAAGGAGTTGGAGGTTGAGGAGATTTTGGCGGCTTCTAACTCGCACGTGACGACTCTGGCGACAAAGCTTGAAGACTACCTGCAGAGCCTCTCAGCCAACCCTGACTTGGCGGTGTCTGACGCTACCAAGGAGAAGTACAGGAAGATCAAGGGTGCGTGCATCGAGAAGGCGCGGTCTGAGATAGCGGTCGCCAAGGATGAGATCATCATCCAGGAGTTGGATCGGCAGAAGAAACGTGAAGCTGAGGAATTGAAGAAAGCTGCCGCTGCTGAGGAGATGGACAGCATGGAGACGGATCCGGCGATCAACGAGATCGTTCAGCAGCACGTGAAGAAGGCCGAAGAAAAGCTACGCAGGGAGTTCGCGGCGAAGCTGGACAAAGGCCTATCGGCGGCGCTGCAGAAGGTTTCGCTGGAGAGCAAGAACTCGACGCCGGCCCCTGCTGCTGCTTCGACGCCACCGAACAAGAAGGCGAAGAAGAAGCGCGGGAAGAAAAAGAAAGCTGACGCTCCGACGGACGGCAAGGAGAAGGGCCTGAACGCTACCTCCTCGAAGAAGGCCTGGGTTCCAAAAAACGGAGGCGGCGGCCCCGCAAAAGGGCCGCCGAACAAGAAGTAACGGCACACGACCTCGCGCTCCGCTGGTTCGGCCGCTTGACTGTTCGACAAGTGATGTCACGCGTGCGGAACAGCGGGGTGCATAACCTGAGTGCTAAAACTCTTACCACTGATGAGCGGAGAGCACTCGGGATGGGTTTGAAGTTTGTGCCTACACCTACCAGGAATCCGTCAGTCGAAGCAGATCTCGATCAACTGCATCGGCTGACTTCTCTTCATTTTTTCTTCAAGGAGAAGGGTGACCCGACGGAACCTGTACGCTTTCGTGTGCGGAATCCTAGTTGGAAACCTGATCGGGACGTTGTCCCGGAGTCGGTCTTCAAGGAGGCCCATTCGGACCTCTCTTTCTTGATGAAAGCGACAACGCCACGGCGCGGTTTCAACCTCTCGTTGGGTGTGCGCAAGGCGTTACGCTCCCTCGCCTCTGACCGCAGCATCGTGATTAAGCCTGCTGACAAGAACGTGGGTGTGACGGTGTTAGATCGGCAGCACTACATCAACCTCTGCATGGAACATCTCGGGGATGAAGCAGTGTACCAGCCGATCCTACATGATCCAGCCACAGGTCGTGAAGCAGCTGCGGATCTTACAGACGACGTGGGAACCGGCTTTCCCTGACAGCCTCTGGAAGTATTTTTTCAAGGAACCACCTGGAGGGTGGCGACCAGCTGCTTTCTACGCACTGCCGAAGCTTCACAAGAAAGTCCCCGTGGGGCGGCCAATCGCCGCTTCACACTCATGGGTGACTACTCCTGTGAGCAAGTGGCTGGACGCAGAACTTCGCTCGCTGGTACTTAACCGCCCAACTTACCTCCGGGATTCCCTCTCGCTGCTGACGACGCTGGAACGGACTGCCTTTCCTACGACAGTTCTGCTCGCGACGTATGATGTTGCTGCGCTCTACCCCAGCATCTCGATTGAGCGCGGCCTTGATGCGGTCAGCAGTTTTCTGATGAGGGAGAAACCACAGCTCGCCCCACCTCTCATGGCCATGCTGGGCTGGGTCATGAGGAATTCGTTAGTGGAATTCAACGGCCGGACCTATCATCAAGTGCGGGGAACAGCCATGGGGACACCTGTAGCTGTCTGCTTCGCGGTCCTGTTTATGAGCCGTCTGGACGAGCTTCTGAAGGAGAAGTGGACCGGGATATCTCCTCTGTACCATGCGCGCTACATCGATGACGGGTTAATCATTTGGCCAGGGTCGCGGGTAGAACTGGAAGCCTACCTGCAGACCTTCAACGCGCTGGATCCTGACATTAGGATCACATGGTCTATCTCGGATCGCTCCATAGATTTTCTTGACGCTGTTCTTTTCAAGGGGCCGCGTTTTAAGGAGCGGGGTACTTTAGACTTCGGCACGTACCAGAAGCCGGTGAATAAGTATCTGTACCTTCCCTTCGCTTCCTTCCATCCACGGCACTGCAAGGAGTCTTTCATTCGCGCAGAGCTAAGACGTTACCTTCTTCGCTCAACTTCAGCTGCGACTTTCCTAGCAACGAAGCGGTCTTTCTTCCTCCGCCTTCGTGACCGTGGTTACCCGCCCGTGTTTCTGCACCCCATCTTCAAAAGTGTCATCTTCGCTCATCGTTCAGAACTTTTCGCCAGCACCATCGCCAACCAAGCGCTCCGCCAACAGACAACTCTCCCATCCCGTGGGCCCCTTGTCTTGAAGACTCAGTACACTCCTGTTACTGCACGACTCGGGCTAGGGGTCCTTTTAAGTCGACTTAAAAATCGACTCATCACACGTGGGTTATACGTGGAGAAAATGTTTGTTGCGTGGAAAATTGGTTGTAACCTTCAGAGGTTACTGGTGCGCGCGCGACTTCCGAAGTTGCCCCTTGGCGAAAATCTGAACCCAACCCTTCACGCTGACACTTTCGAGGAAGTTGAAGACGTGGCTGCCTGAAGTTTTCGAGGGTGGTCTGGATTGGTCCCCGTCATTTGGGTGACCTGGGTGTGGATAGCCTAGAGTTCGCTTTCTTAGAGGCCTTGCTTCTCTTTAGAGGCATTGCTTAGCCCTTCTTTCTCATTGTTGGCACTGATGAAGGTCTGATCGGGCCTTTCCCCCGTAATAGACCGAAACATGTTTGTCCCTGTTTTACTCTACTGCTAAGAATTTGGGTTCTAAGATCGTTCTGAGCACTTAGTTGTACATAGAGCGGAATTTTACTGCTGTTTTTTCCTTTGCTTAAGCCTACTGCACGCACGCAGCTCACTGAGCCATGTCCGGATCTCGTGTGTCTCATCGCTTGTCTCTCACCCATCGCCCTGTCTCTCCTGTGGTTGCATGGCATGGCATGGCATGGCATGGCATGGCAGGGCATGGCATGGCATGGCATGGGTGGGCATGGCATGGCATGGCATGGCATGGGTGGGCATGGCATGGCATGGGGGTTATGGCATGGCATGGCATGATCACAGGCATGGCTGCCCAACATAGGCTACGACTCAACCACATCATCCCACAGGCACATGGTGTGTTGAGTCTCGGTCCCTGATCTCAAGTTCACTCTCGACTCGTGACCTTCCACTTAAGCGCTTCCATCAGAAAAAGGAAGAAGAGGGGACATGAGATCCCCAGTTTCAGTTTGCCTTTTCGTAAATGTGTGTCTCATCTCATGCTGTTGGACTCTCTATGTTGGACGTGCTGTGTCTTTCATGTGTCCTCTGTTTCTCTTTTCTTGACCTGGCAGAGCCTTGCAGGTCTCTTCTCTGCTGCAGCCAAGGCAGTAACAGCGATGCAGCAAGGCAGTGGCGATGCAGACGATGCTGACGTGGAGGCTGACGTGGATGCTGACGTCAAGGCTGATGTGGATGCTGACGTCGGGGAGAAGAAGAGCGAGGAGGACGTGAAAGTAGAGGGGAGTGCAGGGGAAGCGATGCAAGTGGAGGATGAACAAAAGGAAGAGGAAGCTGCTAGGAACAATCAGCACGTGAGCGAAGGGAGGAGCAAGGGGGCTGAGCAAGAAAAGGGTGGTGGAGAAGGGGAAGAAGAGGAAGGTGTGGAGGAATTGAGGGTTTCGAAGGGAGCGGGTAGAGGGAGGGGGAAGAAGAGACGGGGGAGGGGGGGAAGGGCAGGTGCAGCCGGGCGGCGGGTGAGAGGGAAGCAGGCTGTTGAGGCGGAGAAGGGGGAGGGTCAAGGGAAGGCGAGTGGGGGTGCGGATGATGAGGGAGTGAGGGAGGTGGAGATGGTGGGGGGGGAGAGGGTGATGATGAAGTGTTGGAGGTTAGTGGGAGTGAGGTTGAGGAGGTGGAGGGGAGTGTGGTGGTGGAGAGTGGTGCGGTAGAGTGTAACGCTCTAAAAGTGGAAGAAAGTGAGAACGTGAAAGAGTGTGTGGAGGTGAAAGAGAGTGAGAAAGGGAAAGTGCGTGAGGGAGTGAAAGAGAGCGAGGAAGTGGAAGGGGATAAGGAGGTGATGGAGTGTGAGGAAGTGAAGGGGAGTGAGGGAGGGAAAGAGAGTGAGGAAGGAGTGGAAGAGGTGAAGGACCTTACAGTGGAGGATTCAACTGGCAAGCAGTATGCTGCAGAGCGGTCAGGGGAGGTACAGCTGGTGAAGGTGGGAACTGGAGTAGGCAGCAGCGCACTGCCAGTCACCACCAGAGTGCTGAGGTCACAAAGCAATAGAGAGGCGTTGAGTGCGGTGGAAAGAGGTGCTGGAGAGTCACACAGGGGAGCAATAGTGGGCGGAACGGAGACAGATGGAAAGGGGGATGGAGGGGTGGGGAAGAAAGCAGGGGGAGTGGAAGATGCGGAGCAGGAGGAATCTGCAGCTGATGATGCTATGTGCCAGGTAAGCACGACACGTGGCATGTGTCGGGTAAGCCAAGCCAAGACATCCCGCATGCATGGCATGACGTCAAGTTGCAACGTGGTGGAGTTCATATATAATACTACTGACTCTGAAAGCACCTGTTCTGAGGGTTGTTAGTTTGGAGTTACTTTTGAGAATTCCCAAACGTGCCGGCTGCTGATCATCGACGCTCTTCTCCGGGACTTCCACCACCACCGCCACACACTGCTTATGGCTTGTGCCCTTCCCTTCCCTTCCCTTCCCTTCCCTGCCCTGCCCTGCCCTGCCCTGCCCTGCCCTGCCCTGCCCTGCCCTGCCCTGCCCTGCCCTGCCCTGCCCTGCCCTGCCCTGCCCTGCCCTGCCCTGCCCTGCCCTGCCCTGTCCCCCTCGGCCTGTGTTTCTGCCCTGCCATCCCAGTCACTTGCATCGTGCCGTCTGCTGCTGCTAATCATCGACGCTCTTCTCAGGGACTTCCACCACCGCCGTCACACGCTGCTCACCACTCGTGAGTGAGCGCATTCCTTCCTTTACTGAGCTGCCCTTAATCACTCTCTGCCACACACTGCTGCCACACACTGCTGCCACACACTGCTGCCACTCACTGCTGCCACTCGCTGCTGCTCCTAATCATCGCTGCTCTCCTCAGGGACTTCCACCACCGCCCGCCACACGCTGCTCGCCACTCGTGAGCTGCCTTTCCCCTTCTCAGCCGCCTTAAAAGTCCGCCCGCCCTAAAAGATCACAGCCTCCTGTCCTGCTGCTGCTCATGTCCGTCACTTGCTGCTGCTCATGTCCTGTCTCCTCTCAACATTCCTCACCCCGCCACACCCTCACAATGGGGTAACAGCGACCAAGCTGCATAGCTCCGCTCTATTATTTTCCAGGTAGTTGTATAATAGCAATCGTACATACCTTCATGCACGGCTATCAGCTGCTGTACCTCTGGCAATCCGCCCCTCCATCATCAGAGGAGCGTTCTCATTCTCGATTAACGAACCAAGACGAGAACCTTGGCTCGGCACATACCTCTTGTTTTCCTCTTTCCTTCCTCTCTTTCTTCCCGCTGCATCGCACAAGAACCTTCCCAATCCCTCCTCCCTCCCCCAACCCATCCTTCCTTTCTTTTTCAACCTCTCCCTTTCCTGATTCCTCTTATTTATTCATGTGTTGCCACTGCTTGCCATCGCAGCATCTCTCTCCAAGTATCGGCGCCTGGAGACAATCAAGTCAACTCTGCTCTTCAGATTCCTACAGGTAAATCAATCAAGGTTGGGCACTGTGGGATACTCCATAGGTTGTAGCTGTGTGTGTGTGTGTTTTTTTTTTTTTCGTCACTTTTTACTCTAGAATTGAATACTCCATATGAGAGCGAGAACACTGTGGATGCTCGATACTATAGGCGAGCGTGTTAGTTTTAATGCTCACTCACGCCCTTGCCTTGCCTGTTCGCAAGTGACTTGTGGGAGACTGAAAAGAGGGCAGAGCACTGTGGGAGCAATTTTGTTCCCAAGGAGTGTGTGGTTGTTCTGGTGCTCTCTCACGCCTTTGCATGCTTCCCCTCCGTCTCTCCTTCCTGTATCTCCCTACCCTGCCTTGCACATGCCAGGGCCAGGGGACTCTAGGGTTGGAGCAGCTGTGGGAGAGTTTGGTGGCTCTTGTGTTTGCTTGTGCTGGGGAGGAGGAGGAAGAGGACGAGGACGAGGGAGAGGGAGAGGAGGAAGGGAAAAGTGGTAGCGAGGATATAAGGCAGGAGATTAAGGGAGAGGCGGAGGACAAGGGAGGAGGAAACGATGGAGGAGAGGAGAAGGACAAAGGGGAGGAGGGTGAAGAGCTAGGGAGAAAGAGAAAGCGTGCTAGGACAGAGGGGGAAGGCGAGGAGGACGAGAAGCAGGAAGTGAAGGGAAAGGAAGGAGTGAAGGATGAATCCGATGGCGAAGCGAGGAGAGAGAAGCAAAGTCAATGGGGTAGGGAGGAGGGAAAGGAGGGGGAGGAGGCGAAGGAGAGGAAGGAGGAGAGGGAGGGAAAGGAGGAAACGCGGGCAGCAGCGGAGGCAGCAGAAGAGGAGAAGGAGGCAAAGCGTCAGTCTGTGCGGAGGGCACGTGCCTGCGCCGCTCCCAATCGCCTGGAGCTGGCTCGAGCAGCTCAGCTGCTGCTGGGTGCTGTGAGTTTCAGAGTGGTGCCGTGAGTCTTAGAATGGTGCACGTTGCAACCCTCTGAAACTACCCTTTGTTTGAGTCTTGCTAGCTTTTCCCAAGCTGTGCGAGCCTCTGCGTGTGACTTCAGCTCACCTCCATCCATCCACCTTTTGATGTGTGGCGCTGTGAGTCAGGTGTTGGATCTGCATGGCATCATAGCAGACAACGACGGGTACCGCAGAGCCAGAAATGAGAAGTGAGTGCTGTGTTCCAAACCACTCGCTTCTCATTCCAAAGCACTTGCTGTATGGCCTTGCTGACTACTAAGTTCATCCCCACGCTTGCCTGCTTATTCCGCTCCTTATCCCTTGCCCAACTACTCTCCCCTCACACTTCTCGCTCTGCTGCATGCATAGAGTTTTGAGTCGACTCAAACCCCCCCTCGTGTGCTCTTCCTCCATTCTGTCTGCGCTGTTTGGCACGGCAGGGAGGCGATGGAGGATCGAGTGGTGAGGCTCTTTGCATTGGAACCCAGCGTTGCCAAGAAGAGCTTTTTCCTGCAGGTGGGGACAGTGCATGTGCACTGATATGTCATGGCATGTTGATGCTCGTTCGAACGAAGCACACAGCTCTCTGCTTCATCATCATATTTTGCGTGTGTGCGTTGCGTTGCTCTCTCCATCCCATCATCCATCAGACCATGGTGGATCCGTGTCACAAGTATCATCTCATCGTCCTCCTCTTCTCTCGCTTCGGCCCTGTTGTAAGTCCTTAAGGTGTACCAGGTGTAATGCCAGGTGTAATGCCAGGTGTAATGCCAGGTGCAATGCCAGGTGCAATGCCAGGTGTAATGCCAGGTGTAATGCCAGGTGTAATGCCAGGTGTAATGCGAGGTGTGTAATCCCATCAAGCATAACCCCATTAGCTGTTACATAGAACACCATCTGGTTAAACCATGTATTGTAACTCATCTGATTACACCAATATGGTGCTGCTATTTTAGCCTTTCTTTTTCTTGCCAATCCTGGATATAAATCCTTCCCTACCCACCCATCGCTACCCATTGTTACCCACCCTAATCCACCGCTATCCACAAGCAGAAGCTGAGGGCGGCACTGGCAGCAGATCCCAGGGGGGTGGGGGTGGGCAGGACAACCCTGGCTGCGCTCCTGCATCACCTGGGGTGCAGCAACGTGTCTCAGCTCTCCAAAGGCTCGCAGATCAAACGAGACCTGCTGGCCGTGCTGCTGTGCCACGCCTGCCAGGTGCGTGCCCCTCCATGCCAAGAGTCCAGTCTTTTTTGAGGCGCCTCAGAAATTGCCAAGAGTCCAGTCTTTCTTTCAAGAATAAGCACTCCCATGTACCCACTCCACACCTCGTATGCTTCTCTTTCCACACGAACATGCCTCAGTGCTCCAAGCACGCTCCTACACTACACTTCTGCACTTCCGCTCTATTATGATTGCATGTCCACATCTGCCATTACAATCCCCTTTGAGAATTCTCAAGAGTCACATCCACATCTGCCATCACATTCTCATCCTCCACTGCAAGTGTCAAACATCCATGCATATTCTTACCTCCACAGTTACCATTCGAATGTAAAAGTCTCCCCAGCACTTTGAATGCGTCCCTGCTTCCCAGGCGTACTTTGACATCAATCCCAACGCAATCCTCGAGTTGCTGCAAGCACAAAAACCCTCTGCAGGGAGCAAGAGGCCGAGCAGGAAGAAGGCTGCACCTGCAGCGGCCGAGGCTGCACCAGAGGAGGCAGCGGCAGCAGCAGCACCGACGACCATATGTGACATGATCGTAGATGCTGTACGAGCCTGTCCTTTCACGTAAGTTACGGTGTCCCTTTTCCTCAGTTGCTTCATTCGCCATTTGCCGTACTATTCCAACTGACTTTGTTTTCATAACTTTGCAGGGGTGAACTGTCAAATTTAGGGCGAAGCTGCCTCATTGCCCTTGAAGCATTCACCAAGATCTTACAATAACTGCTGTACAACAAGCCCCGCAGTATCGAATAATTGCTGTAACAGTTTTAAGCTAATATTGAAGATTGGCACTAACTGCTGTATACATCTTCAGGGTGGGGCAAACAATGAAACTCCATTGCTGTTTTCAGCATTCACATGAGGATGCCTTGGTGGCCCGAGCAGCATTCACATCAATCGTGTCTGGCAGGTAGCTGCAGCACAACAAAAGACCACAGAAGCATGTAAGCATAGTTCACAGCAGTGGGATTAGAGACTAGGATTGCAGGGGAGGAAACATGGCAAGTGCACAGAAAACAAAAATTAAATTTCACCAGCAATTGTTCAGAGGAAAGACTGGGCAATAGACTGTTTTTGAGACGACTAAAAAACAGTCGACTCGAAAACAGACTCATCACATGCAAAAGTTCAGAGGAAAGACTGGGCAAGGGAACAAGGGCGGGGGTACTCACAAGTCCTCCTCGGTTTCATTCTTGAGCGCGTTTCTGGCGATGCACTGGAAGGCGGCCTCGACGTTGTAATCCTCCTTGGCGGACGTCTCAAAGTAGGGGATGTTGCCCTTGGCCGCACACCACGCCTTCACCTTCTTCTCCGATACCTGGCGTCAGGCAGGGGAAGGGCAAGAGGGAGGCGCGAGAGGGGTACGTGAGGGAGGCACCTAGGGAATAAACAAAGTGTGAGGAGCACGAGGCGATTTGCGAGGAATGCGAAGACGCTGGGGCAGAGCAGAGAAACAAAGAAGGATGCGAAGCAGAACACGAAGAGCGCCTGCAGCAGGACGGGGGTTTCTTAACATGAGAACAGGGGTGCTGGAGTAAACTCGTGTGCGCATGCTTACCACGCGGCTGTTACCGCCATCCACATCGATCTTGTTACCGAGCACCACGAACGGGAACAGATCCCGCTCTGCTGGATTGGCCTGTTGATGTGACGGAAGGACAAGACACACAAGGCTCGCGTCAGCTCCGCTCTCGATTTGACCAGGCTTGTTTGCTGAAAATGTTGATTTCGGATCCAGATCATGACCGTGACATTTCAATAAGTCACCACGGCACGCACCTGTATCAAGAACTCCTCCCGCCAATTGTCGAGGTTCTCAAACGATTTCATCACGTTCACGTCGTAAACCAGCACGCAGCAGTCCGCTCCCCGGTAGAACGCAACTCCCAGGCTTTGAAACCGCTCCTGGCCGGCTGTATCCCAGATCTGGATCAAATTGAGAAGGCGAACAGGATGGAAGATGAAGAAGAGCTCTCCAGATCGCGAAGTTTGTATCAAGGGTAGGCGATGCAAGCTGACCTAGAAAAACGGGGGGGGGGGAGGGGGGGAATACAGCACTGGGAAAACAACCAGGATGTCACCTGCATGGTTACAAGCTTGTCGTCTACTTGAACCTCCTTCGTTAAAAAATCGGCTCCGATCGTGGCTTTATATTGTGCGCTGAACTTCTTATTCACGTATCTACAGGGAGCAACGCAGGACCATGGTCAGAAGACGAACAACTCCAAAGAGAAACTTGTCGATAAATCTGCGACGATTGGAGCTACAACGAAGCGCACTGACTGCTTACTGGTTCATGAGCGAGGTCTTTCCGACGCTGCGCGCATTTTAGAAAAGGAGAAAATACCACGGGGAAGAGTTAGAAAAAGGCTAAATACGCGAAGAACGACGAGGAGTTACATAGCTAGCGGGAAAGCGAACATAAAAAGCCTACGCACCCACTGTCTCCGAGAATGATGACCTTCAGCAAAGTACGTCTCCTGGCAGACATTCTGGCGCGTTCTACGGCGAACTTTGGAAATCCAAGTACCCCTTTCCAAGACGGAATCTAAGAGGACGCTGTAGTAGCGTAGTGCTAAAAAGCAACTAGTCACGGAGGTGATTTCGTGTAGTCTAGGATAGTTGAAAGCTGCGACAGGGGAGCGTTTCCCGTAAGGAACTTAGAATGGCGGAGGGTGAAAGCAGCCGCGCGTCATGCACGACCACTTCAGATGCCCGGAACAAGCGGGAAGATTGCTGGAAACGACCATCCGATATAAGAACGTGCCAGAATCGGGGAGCGTTAGTGAAAGTTTGGTAGATTGTAGGCTCATATGAGCGGTTTGAGTAAATCTCGAATTGTATGATACATGATCTTGTAACGCGGATAATGCAACCATCGCGGGTAGCCACTTCAGCGTCTCAAATTCACTGAAAGTGCTGCTGACCTGTGTCGGTCAGCCGCCAATCGCGTCGCTGCGACGCGAATCAGCAGCGTAGCGATGCCGAATATGGTAACCAGAGAGACATACGGTTGTGTCAGTGCTGGTGTCGTGCCGTTCGCGCCGCGTCAATTGTCACGGCGCAGCGCATCCGAGCCCCGGAGATTCGCGATGTGGGGGGGAGACCCTGTGTGCGGGCAATTGCGTTGTGAACCTTGAGACATGGACGAATTCCTCGTCAAGCCTTCCCCTCCCCTTCCAAATTCCAAGTTCCCACCCCACGACCGCCATGGTCGCTGGACCATGGCCCACACCATATCCCATTACAACCAATCACAAAGTCACGCCCACCCGTCCCGCAACTCTGGTTCCTCTTGTTTCCCGTCCGCCCATGGCTCAAGTTGTGACATGACACTCAGCTGCGACCATTGAGCTATTATGTATACTTGAATGCTGGTTTCGTAGGAGTTTTATCATTCAGTAAACGAGGGGAGAGTGTGAGGAGTCAAAGATCTTCCAGCAGCTTGAAAGCTCGACTCCGAACACAAGGCTGGATTCCTAGCATTAAGCTCGGTAGCGAGTACATTAAGGTGGCCGTACTATCCATAGTGCCAGTCATTGATTATACAGATCCGTTCGTTTCGACCATTACCCGTCAGAAAAGCTCGTCTCTCAGTCCCTCTAGCCGCGATGGCGACCAGACATACTTCAGCGTATCGGCGAAGCGCCCTCTTCGTCCTCCTCCTCGCCGCCACCTGCGCCGCTCCGCGCTTCGCCACCGCGAGCCAGCTGGGCGACGGCTATTGGTTCGCAGTCGGAAGCCAGATTCTGGATGAGGCGGGCCGCGTGGTGGAGTTCTCGGGGGTCAACTGGAACGGCTTCGACGCCGCGAATTGCGTCGCGGACGGGCTATGGGCGCGCGGGCTCGGCGATTACTTGGACCAAATGGCCTCGCTCGGGTTTAACGTTATTCGCCTCAACTTCGCCACGTCGTGCATTTCGCCGTCCATTCGGCCGTCTGACGGATCAATCGACTTCAACAAGAACCCGGATCTTCAGGTAGCTTAAGATTCGAACGAGCCGTAAGAACGGTTCACAGGCAATGCCAAGCCAGGCTTCTAGTAAAAAAGCTGAGCTACGTCACAAATTCGCCTCAACGCCTCCTCGTAACATAGGTCGCCGGATCGCACTCTGCTTGCTGATTGATTGAAGAAGTGTGTTGAGATGTCTCAAATCCTCGTAACATGGGTCGCCGGATCGCACTCTGCTTGCTAAATCTCCCCACGCATTTCTCGCCGCATCTCCCGCCGCATCTCCTAACGTCGTTACAGCTGGCAACGTGCAGGCCACATCCCACCAGCTCCGCTTCTCTGGCGCTTCACCGTGTTCCCGAATTCCGCTTCCCGCTTTCGTGTTTCCACTTTTCGCTTTCCACTTTCTTCTCCCCGTTCTTGCGCGCTTTTCCCCGCCACTCCGCGCAGGGTCTATCGACGCTCGAGGTGATGGACGCGGTGATCGCGGGCGCGAAGCTCCGCGGAATCCGCGTGATTCTCAGCAACTCGCGCGTGCAGCCCGCGCTTCCGCCCGACTACCCCGCGGACTCGGGTCTATGGTTCGATCTGGGGAACCCGGAGCGCGTGTGGCTCGATAACTGGAACCTGCTCGCGTCGCGCTACTACGGCGAGCGCACCGTGGTCGGCGTTGACCTGTTCAACGAGCCGCACCGCGACCCGTCGCATCCGGATGTCACGTGGGAGGCGGACGGCGTGAACGAGCCGTACAACTGGCGCACGGCCGCCAAGAGGTGCGTATCGTCATGGCGGTCGCGATGGGATGCGCTATATCGTATTGTTGCGCGTGCTTTGAGCAATGCTTCAGGGAGAACGTTCATCCGCTTATATTATATTGTCACACCTTTCGCGAAGTTTCGCCTCCTGTAAGAAAGGGGTCAGAGCGTCGATCCTTGACCTTCTTGTCTTCGTGCCAAGTGTCAATTCTTTCCCTTCGAGTAACCTGTGTTACATTACCATATGTTCGCCTCTTCTCGGTTTCCTCCTTTCGCAGAGCCGCGGACGTGGTGCAGGCGGTGAACCCGGACCTGCTCATCTTCGTGCAAGGCCTGGACGGAGACGACTGCTGGTGGGGATCGAACCTGCGACCTGTCTATTTCTACCCGCTCAAGCTCAACATCCCGTACAAGCTCGCCTACTCCATCCACGACTACGGCCCCATGGTCAAAGACGGGCAGCCATGGCTGTACGACCCCGCGTTTCCCGCGAACCTGGAGGGGTACTGGGACGACCTGTGGGGATATGTGGTGGATCAAGGCATTGCCCCGGTGTGGGTGGGCGAGTGGGGGAGTATTCTGCCCGTTGACGGCACGGACCAGCTGAGCCAACGCGAGATGAAGTGGGTCGCCGCGCTCAGGAATTACATCAGGTGAGGTTTAAACGGGGATGGGAAAGCGTGCCTGGGACGAGCTGTGGGGGTATGTGGCGGACCAGGGCATTGCGCCCGTGTGGGTGGGCGAGTGGGGGAGCTTGCTGCCCGTTGATGGGCCAGCTGTGTCAACGCTAGATATAGTGGGTTGCCACTCTGCGCAATTACATTAGGTGAGGCTATAACTGGCCTTCCTCCGCTTCTCCTCTCCCTCCCTTCCATCCCCTCCCCCCTCTGCCCCAAACAAGTATCTCTCATTCAAGCCTCCCCTCTCTTCTCCCTTCTTTCCCCGCCCTCCCTCCCTCTCCTTTCTCTGTCTCACAGGAAGAAGCAGCTGTCGTGGACGTGGTTCACATGGGG